GGGTGTATGTGTGTGTGTGTGTGTGAGTGAGTGGTTGTGTGAATAAGTGAGTGTGTGTGTGTGTGTGTGTGTGTGTGTGTGTGTGTGTGTGTGTGTGTGTGTGTGTGTGTGTGCGAGCGAGTGAATGTGTGAGTGAGTGAGTGAATGTATGTGAGTGAGTGGTTGTGTGAATAAGTGAGTGTGTGTGTGTGAGTGAGTGAGTGAATGAATGAATGAATGAGTGTATGGTTAAATATATTTTTCTTGTGTTGCAGGACTCTTGCAGCTGAAGATATCTGCTTCACTAATAGACTTCATGCCATGTTCTTCTGTCTTGGTCAGACCATACCTGTACAGAGAGGTCAGTACATAAATGTCCCTTTGTGCCTTGCAATGTATGTGTACCATATGTGTACTACATGTACACCCCCCCCCCACACACACACACCAACACACACACACCAACACACACACACACACTCACTTATTCACACAACCACTCACTCACCTACATTCACTCACTCACACATTCACTCGCTCGCACAAGTGCAAACACACACACACACACACACACACACAAACACATGTACACACACATGTACATTTTGTACACACACACAAACACATGTACACACACGTGCACACACAAACATGTACACACACACACACATAAACATATGTACACACATATAGAAAGACACACACACATGTACACAAACACACACACACACACACAAACACATAACAGGTGTACATGTATGGTGCAATGTATGTGAACAGGCTGTAAGAAAAGTACAACAGAACTATTTACCATATTGCTATCATAATTTGATGCCAGAGTGTACAAGGATTTATGGCCTAGGCTGAATCTCAGACACGTCATCAGTATTATTGTTCAGTTCAATTAAGCTCAACAAAAAATGTAAAACATTATCAAAGAAAGACACAAGATATATCATATCATGTACAAATATAGACGTCATCAATGAAGTATTAAAGTATATTTCAAAATGTTTCAAAAAGAGAGAAGAAGCCATTAGAACTTAGATTGATACCACTTTATATATATATTTCTTTTTTAGCATTGTATACTTTAGACCTGATGTTAGCCTTTCTTTATTACTATTGTTGTAGTACTCTCTAGTACATTGTACTTTGTACATTTATCTCCCCGGGAATGAACATGCAATAAAGTTTCATTTCATTATCTTGTCCCCCCTGCAGGGGCAGGTGTGTACCAGAGAGGAGTAGATTTTATGGTGGAACAGCTGAACAAGGGAAGATGGGTACACATGTTTCCAGAGGGTAAGACATCCACAAGTTTGACATGCTAAGAGGAGTCTGTTGAAATGTTGTGTTTCCTGTTTCCCGACCGACCCTAGAAAAAAACTGCCGACCCTAGCCTTTTTGGATTGACCCCTGCAATTTTTCGAGCTGATCCACCTTTTCTAGCTCCATGATCTGACACCTGAGTGTTAAAGCAATGTACAATCATGTTGAAAATATGTCCTCATGCAAGTTTTACTTTCATTGTTAAACTGTATTGTATACATTTGGTCACTAAAGATTATGCTAAACGTCTAATAAAGAAAATAAGTACCTGTAGACCGACCCTAATTTTTTCAGGACTGAAACAGGAAAAACAACATAGCATGAAAGTTCAGCCGAGTTAGTAAAATACATAATGAAATCAAACTGTTCTCCAACTCAAGAAAAATGAATCACCAGAAATTTTCGACTGAATCACTCGGTCTTCATCAAGTAGACACATGATTTTTTTCCCCACTGTGACGTCAGCACTGGGTCTTTGGAAGTCCCGTCCCGGTTGAGGGAAGGTTGGTATGCCTGCAACATTTTTTCCCTAGGCTTATTCAGCTGTGATTGGAATGTATCCAGTATAGCATAAATGAGGAAATTTTGGTCCAGGCCTAGCGCCTACATTGTATTAAGAATTTTAGTTACGGTCAAGAACCTTAACCACAAGGCCACCATGCCACCATTAAGTGTTAATTAAAAGTGGTAATGCTGCCAATGACACTAGAAATACAACAGTTCCTGATAATATTCATCCATGATATTGTTTCATTCAATGAACAAGAGATTTCTACAAAATACACAGCCTTCTGTCCTGATGTTATTGAAAATCCAACCTCACAAACAATACAGTACTTTGCACTACTTGATTGCTGTCAGCAGTTTATCCAATGAAATTCTGCCAATGATGTCACAGTGAATAAAAGTTATCAATATTTGCTTTGTTTGCTCAAGGAAGTTCCAATTTTAATCTTCTCAAAAGAATGTTTTTCATGAACCGTGCTGCAAGGGTCTGAACTTGTTGAAACCAGAAATTTGCATTTGAATATCTCATGGAAGTATGAGTCTCTTTGTAAATTTTTTCATTAAATCTAATTTAATGTTTTTAAAAATATCCCTCCCATACACCCTGTGTGTGGTTTATAGGGATTTTCATGCCTAGATACTGATCTTTGAAAATTAAGGCAACATTTGATGAAGGTGGTGGGTCTTGGAACCGTAGTTTCCCGTAGTTCAAGTCTCATTGAATTGTATTGGTTACGGTACTCTGCATTTACACTGGGATGTTTGGTTTGATGTAGGGAAGGTGAATATGACGCAGGAGATGATAAGACTGAAGTGGGGTAAGTACCATGTCATGTACATCATAGTCACTTCTATAACATAACATTAAAGTCATCTTTATTACATTGTATATAATTACCTCCATGAAAAATGGAGGTACAAAATGTATTGTTTTTGGTGCGTCTGTGTGTGTGTGATGAATGCTCCTTGGTGTGTGTGAGTATTTTAGTCACAATAGTTGGATATTTTTCATGAAGTTAAAAATAAAGATTTTAATACGTTGGTATTTCTTTTGATGTTTCTGAACATTTTGAAAGTGAGTGCACAAAGAGTATTTAGGAACAAATTTCAAATACCTATTAAGGATGCTTTCAAGTGCATATCAAAGATATGATTCTTTCACTTTTAGAAATATTTACAAATACATGTATTTTCACAAATTTCCAGTATGGTAAGTTTGGGTTATAGCCCCTACAATTTAATAAAAGCAGGTGCTAATAAGACCCTACTGGCCTTCTCTTTATTGGAAAATGATTTTAGAAGCTTTGGCACAAATTTCAAAAGTTTTTTTCTGCCTGATAACTGAAGTAACTCATTCAAAGACATACATATTTCTATCCTCTCTAGGTGTGGGCAGGCTAATTGAAGAATGTCAGCAAACACCCATCGTCATACCTATTTGGCATGTTGGTGAGTACATGTAATGCAAGGTTAATTGTTAGAAAAAGCTGTTAAAAAGTTGTGAAAACTACCAATTATCCAGTTGGGATGTTTCTCCAGTGGTGCTTTTTCCAAATTAAGAATGTGTATCTGATATCAGATATTGGTCATGAACTGACAGAACTACTTGAATGTTTAAAGTTAAAACTTTTGGTCCAACACAAAAAGTTTCTCTCACCTAAAGCTTTCGACCAGTCACTCTGGTCTTCCATGTAACTACCAACACAGATAGACTTTCATGATAGTGACAGAACTACATTGTACTTGTTATGAACTGACAGAACTACTGGTTATCAACTGACAGAACTACTGGTTATGAACTGACAGAACTACTGGTTATATGAACTGACAGAACTACTGGTTATGAACTGACAGAACTACTGGTTATATGAACTGACAGAACTACTGGTACTGGTTATGAACTGACAGAACTACTGGTTGTGAACTGACAAAACTCTGGTTATGAACTGACAGAACTACTGGTTATGAACTGACAGAACTACTGGTTATGAACTGACAGAACAACTGGTTATGAACTGACAGAACTACTGGTTATGAACTGACAGAACTACTGGTTATGAACTGACAGAACTACTGGTTATGAACTGACAGAACAACTGGTTATATGAACTGACAGAACTACTGGTACTGGTTATGAACTGACAGAACTACTGGTTATGAACTGACAGAACTACTGGTTATATGAACTGACAGAACTACTGGTACTGGTTATGAACTGACAGAACTACTGGTTATGAACTGACAGAGCTACTGGTTATGAACTGACAGAACTACTGGTTATGAACTGACAGAACTACTGGTTATGAACTGACAGAACTACTGGTTATGAACTGACAGAGCTACTGGTTATGAACTAACAGAACTACTCGTTTTGAACTGACAGAACTACTGGTTATGAACTGACAGAACTACTGGTTATGAACTGACAGAACTACTCGTTTTGAACTGACAGAACTACTGGTTATGAACTGACAGAACTACTGGTTATGAACTGACAGAACTACTGGTTATGAACTGACAGAACTACTCGTTTTGAACTGACAGAACTACTGGTTATGAACTGACAGAACTACTCGTTTTGAACTGACAGAACTACTGGTTATGAACTGACAGAGCTACTGGTTATGAACTGACAGAACTACTGGTTATGAACTGACAGAACAACTGGTTATGAACTGACAGAGCTACTGGTTATGAACTGACAGAACTACTGGTTATGAACTGACAGAACTACTGGTTTTGAACTGACAGAACTACTGGTTATGAACTGACAGAGCTACTGGTTATGAACTGACAGAACTACTCGTTTTGAACTGACAGAAGAACTGGTAATGAACTGACAGAGCTACTGGCCGAAAAAAATAAACGTACCGGTACGTTTAATCGGGACATCAGAGTACATGTACATTGTACTGGTTGTGAACTGACAGAAGAACTGGTTTTGAACTGACAGAACTATATTGTACTGGTTGTGGAACTGACTGAACTACATGTACATTGTATTGGTTGTGAACTGACAGAAGAACTGGTTTTGAACTGACAGAACTACATTGTACTGGTTGTGGGACTGACTGAACTACATGTACATTGTACTGGTTGTGAACTGACAGAAGAACTGGTTTTGAACTGACAGAACTTCATTGTACTGGTTGTGAATTGACAGAACTACTGGTTGTGAATTGGCAGAACTACTGGTTGTGAACTGACAGAACTACTGGTTGTGAACTCACAGAACTACTGGTTGTGAACTGACAGAATTACTGGTTTTGAACTGATAGAACTTCATTGTACTGGTGGTGAACTGACAGAACTACTGGTTGTGAACTGACAGAACTACTGGTTGTGAACTGACAGAACTACTGGTTGTGAACTGACAGAACTACTGGTTGTGAACTGACAGAATTACTGGTTTTGAACTGATAGAACTTCATTGTACTGGTGGTGAACTGACGGGACTACTGGTTGTGAACTAGTAGTCTGGCCATTATGAATTCCTGAAGGAGAAAGAAAGAGATGCAAACAATTAAGGTTATTCATATTTAGATATACTGTGAGTATTATAATACTGACAGGTTGAACATGTATGCACTGTTCTTACTGTTCTTTTTCCACAGGTATGGATTCTGTCTTACCAAATGTGAAGCCTTATATCCCCAGGGCTGGAAAGGTACAGAGCAAAGTAACATATTAAACAAAATGTATAGTTTATATCATTTTAATTGCTATATTTACATGTAGGCCACACCAGTTTGATTTGTTATTCTCAGATTTCTTGGAGGCAACAAATGTAAAGCAACAGGGCGGAGTAAAACTGGATTAGGCATCCTATGATAGCCCCAAATGTTACGATAGGTCAGGCATGACATGAACACATACATGTACATGTACCAGATTATTTATAATTTTAATGATAAAATGAGTTTTAAATGTTTAATCAAACCACTAGTACTGCATTGATAGATGGAAAAATGGAAGTAGGAAAACAACAAGCCTTTATTCAAATAGGAGCATTTTGGAGTTGATTCAGAAACTCCCTTTTTTTGGCAGGCAATTATAAAAAGGTGTGAATCTGAGAATTGCTGCAGCCTTACATGTGTTGGCAATGTACATGTATGTTAGACAGATGGCATGACATGTTGTTCTTGTGTTTCATTCATCAGGAGTTGGTCTATAGTTACATGTTTGATGTCTATCTTACAGAGGGTGACAGTGTTGGTAGGTCAGCCATTCCAGCTCCACAGTATTCTTACACAACTCAGGAAGGACCAAAAATCACCTGTAAGTACATTTTACATGAAGTTTAATATTGAGTTGTCAGTTCTGAGCTGGTCGCCAAGGAAATTCTTTTTATCTCGGAGGAATGGTCAAGGAAAATTTTACGGTGTCTAGTTATAAATAAACCAGTGCCAGTGTTCGAAATACCTGTCTGCAGTCTGCAATCTGCAGATAGATTTTCAAGATTGCAGAAGAAAAATTTATACAATCTGCAATTTTGCAGCAGGAAAAATTCAGATTTGGTGCTCTTGGCCCCAAGGACAGACAACACTTAAGCTCCTGTTCTGAAACAACAGGAGCTTCTTCACTAATTTACATCAACCTTGTCTTGACTTGTTTATCTTTTGTTTCCTTTTGGACTTCCAAAGATTTGTCTTCTCTAATTTGCATATCAATCAATAGTTCATGCTTATAAACTTGCAAGATTGTAGTATAGAGGCTTGTGTATTTGCAGAAAGTATTTCCAAATTGCCGAACAAAATTTTGACTCTTCTGCAATATTGCAGAACACTGATAAAAAGTATTTCGACCACTGCTGAGTCTTTGGTGTGGCGAGAAGAAAAAAAAAATCATGCATCCCTTTAGTTATAAAATGTATATTCTAAGGGGGTTATTATGCTGGGGTCAGTTATTATCATTTATTGTTTTTAGATGTTCATATATCAAAGCAGGATTAGGTACATGTGACACAGTGAACTTTAGCAGGACTCTGTCCTGACATCACTTTCTGCTGGTTGTTTTAACTGTAATTGTCATTTTTTGACCGATGGTGTAAGTATACCATATCATTCACATAAGCTACGGTCACAACCCGCCGTACGTGCTTTTTGTCCGGACGTTTTTTTGGAAGCTACGTCTGGTACGTTTTTCTGAAAACGTGGGGAAGGAGTGGCGTCGACGCACGTCACTCACACGGTTGCGCAAAGTGTAAGAGTGTGGTCTGCACGCCAAGTCTGGTCGTGAGCGGTTGCGTGCATCGTACGTTGCGCAAGTGGTGTGTTGTACGTGCCTACAATGTACGATCTCTGTGCGATTGCAACTTTACCGTAAGGAGGCCGTACTCACACGTGCTTCTTCCGCACGGCACGTACGGGGCACGCGCGTTGCTCGTACTCGCACGCACGGGTGGTGAATCCACAGACCGCACGTAGAAAAAGTTTTACATGCACTTAAAGTTCTACGGTGTGTCTGCGTGCTCCCAAATCCGTAGGATTCCGTACGGAGGTGGTACTCACCACGCACGGATGCCCTACGTTTCCCCGTGTTTTTGCACATAGACAGCACGCAGAAGCACGTACGGCGGGTTGTGACCGTAGCTATAGGGAGGGCCAAGGAAGTTTATTTGAGCTGGGGGAGGGCCATGGAAAAAAGTTTTGACCTGGGTAGAGGGCCTTGGAAAGCTCCCTTAGCTCTCAGAATTTCAACCAACCCTCTCCTTGGTAAATATGGAACAGTCCCTGATTAGTCCCACATACATGTTCAGTTACTGAAATAAAGCATTGAGCATGACACAAAGTTTGTGTGTTTCAGATGGAGAAACGTAAGGTCCTGACTGACCACATTCAGGACCAGTTTGTGAGGTTGAAGGCTGAGACGGAGACTCTACATTACCAGACTGTAGACAGCTGATGATGGCTTGTAAAGGACTATATGTAACTATTACACCTGCCAATGTTTGAGAGGAACTTCAAAATCACACAGGAGCTGTTTATCAAGCTGTGAAACTACTGCCCATATCATCTGCTTGTGAAAATACATGTATGTCATGGAACTGTACAATGTGTTTTATGTATTAACAATTATATGTCAAAACAGAACATCCTGGAAAAGGCTGTCTACAGCCACCATGTATCAGCATCTGATGATGGCAAATAATCACATGTATATGAACATACACAAGAGTACTGGTAGGACTTCTAATACTAATCCAAAACATGGGTTCTGGAACTCCTTTGTGATGTTGATTACATGTCATATGAATATTCATTGAATATACTTGGACTTTGTTGGGGGACACAGGGTGACTTCCAGCCAGAAGACATTGCTGACCTGGTGACAGATCGTCACTTGTGGAAAACAACCAGTGGTCGACCGCACTGCACCCGGACAATGATGATGATACTGAAATAGAACGGTCGAATTTTAAGAAAAATGTTTTTTTTTAATTCATAGTTTGATTTATAGTTTGGGGATGTTACACCTGTATTTCTTTTGTGTATTTGGAATTTTAAAATATTCTTTGATCAATAAATACCGTCAGTCTAGTACAGACTCGGACATGTTACTGCAAATAGCAACATTAACATAATATTACATGCATAGTATACATTGCTGTTTCACACATGCACGATGCCAGATACAGATTTCTGTCCAATTTCAGCTTGATTCAATTCAGTGATGTGACTGTTGATTTTATTAAGAGGACTCAACATTTTCTGGATTATACGGAATGATTTGGGGTTTGTACATGCACATTTAGATAGGCCCTAGGCCACACCATGGAGGTAGAAAAAGCTACCTACATGGCCACACCAAGTTGGTTTTCGGATTATGACCCGTTACATTTTTTCTGATTTGCCAAAAAAGTGCATTAAGTACAAAATGGTCATATTTTGGTCCAAACAGTTGAAGAAAGTTCCTTACAATGTACCTTCCTACATGTAGTTGTCACAGTTTATCCATCTTTGTTAGATTGTTCAGGTACAGATTCAGGTCCGGACCTGTACCTAAACCCGTGTACCTGTGCCTGTACACCTAAAATTTGTTCAGGTACACAGCTCTTCTCACAAGTACTACAGACACAAGAATGTCCGAGACAGCTGCATATAAAAAAAGTCCAACTCATGTTTCATAATCTTGAATTATGATTGCAATAGATTTATTTCACAAAAAAAAAAAAAATATACAGATATACAAGTCCATTTAAACATGAATGTCAACTACTTACCCCAAACCTAATACACAATTGTTGAAATTAACAGTCATCATCATTTTCCATGTCTCGCATACAGCATGGAAAATTTATTTCCTCCATTGAACAATCTAAATCACAAAGACCGGGGTTATTGAATATGGAATGTAGCTGAACCGCAAATACCAGTACTAAGATACACATTACAAAATGTAACTCACTCTTACTAGAGATGTAAGATAATAAATAAATGATGTTATACAATGCAATTGTAAGATAATATGTCCATTTCAGTCTGGCTTACATTGTATCCTTTGATGACAGTACGTGTTTTACATGCATTGTGTAATTATCTGGGAAATATTATCAAAATACTATATTTCATGGAATTAATCTTGTCAATAGAAAATTACTATAATTTGATAGTGCATCTGATTTTCAACACACATAAAATGTACATTTATTAGGCCACAGCAAGTAATTTTTATGGATGACATCAGCGCGCGCATTAATTTTCGGCTGATTTTGAAAAAAAAAACAAGAAATTTTGTTGCCTTGACAGTGGTCAACATGCCGAAAATGGGCAAAGATGTCTGTTGCCATGCCGGAAGGTGGATGGCAAATAACTATGAAGAGAGGAAACAAGAAAAGACGTTTTGTTTCTTACTTTGATGCAGTGATATTTGATGCTGGCTGTGTATATGTGATGTTCCCACTGAATCAAAATCATTTGTACCATGATTGAGTCAAAATTTTACAATGTAGGAACCTTGTTTTTTCGGCCCGTCTTGTTTTTTTTTTCGCCTGCTCGCATTAGATTTGGAGTCTTCGGGGGATGTCATCCATAAAATTTACTTCCTGTGGCCTTAACTACATTTGCTACACTTCTTTGTCTTTGAGACTCTCTAAACATTTTAACATGACGTTCGATGAAAATTTCCCTCGTCACCAAAGGTGACATATTAACCATTGTATCCTAGCAGAAATGTGTTTAATCATGTTACAACCACCTCACATGTGATGCTTAACAGCATGTCACTTTACTGAGTATGGCCTCACGAGGATAAGACTGTCCGGATCAAGCCGAATAGATTCGCCTTGACCTGGCTTTGATGATTTGGCTTCTATCCGGATTAAAGTCGGATCAAAGCAAATCTATTTGGCTTGATCCGTACAACTTTATCCTTGTGGCAAAAGGGCCTATATCTGACATACATGTAAGATTATATTTGCTCTCCAAAACTGCATGGTGTTCAGGGTTTGAAATACCTGGTTACCCGGCCCCAGCAGATCTAAACCTCATTACCTGTTCCAGTAAAAAAAAGGAAAGGTAGTCCCATAGCCTTTTTGAGGCCACAGGGACAAGTGGGTTATTATCCACTGTGTCTAGAGTATGGTATTGGAAGGCAGAGCCAAACCCTCTCCTCCTGCTACCTTTTACCTCCCCAACCAAAGTCAGGTACCCATTTTTACACCTGGGTGGACTGAGGAAAGTTGAGCAAAGTGCCTTTTTGAAAATTGTGCACCATACATGGGTGGATGGTTGGTATGTTCTGAATTCTTTGAAACACCAATTTTTCCCTTATATACCCTCCCTATGATCTTTTCTTTGGGACCTTCTTTGAACCAGCATTTAGCTGTCATGCAGTCTCCTGATTGCCTGTCTTCTCAGATGGCTGGCAGATGGATGCAGGTTCCCTCACAGGCACACCTGCAACATGTGTGCTGGTCAGTAATTTCTCAGTTCAAACATGTAAGAAGAGTCCATAGAACAACAAGACTGGCAATGAAAAATACATTGCCATGGCGACGGAGGTTGTTGGTAGGGTTGCTGGCACTGTCATGATTTTGGGGAAGGTACGTTTTGGTCTGAGTTTGTTAAAAATAACACCCAATACACATCCAAATGCCAGTTACAGTCTCTTCTATTGACATCATAAACCATCTACTGTATCAAAAGTTCCAACAGACGCGTACACTACTATTCAGGACGACATTTTCAAGCATAACATGACATTGTCCAGGAGAAGTATCCTCAATACACTAAAGACAAATACCCCGGTACTATCAAATGAAAGAGTAAAAAAGTATGAAAGATAGTATGCAAACGACGTGTCAAGAAAAATCAAAGTAGGTAAGTTTGCCATCTACAGTCCTAATACTTCAGGCAATTGAACATGAAGCAGTTGTCAGGGTCATACATCTGGATGCATACTGTATTGTTTCACAAAATACAAACATGAAGAAACATGGAAAGAAATTTTCCATCTACCACCAGATGCAATTTTCCCGAAAGCTTAGAGGCACGCCAGTGTCTATTGAGAATCAACGTCGCGTGAAGTACAACGTAAAATCATATAACATATCAGAAGGCTCCATTTCCCATTGGTTATCAGGCCGTAACCTCAAAAGTGGTTGGTTGGTTATCAGAATAACCGACCACTTTTTGGACCATACCATCATACAGGGACCAGGATACTAACAGTAGTGTTAAGACTTGTAGTAATTATGTATCTATTTAAAAAGTATGGCAGTTTACTTTGAACAAGTTTGTTGAAAATACAACACAATTCAAAAGATTTAATGAAATCTAAACAGAAAAAGACCACATAGTTTTTGACACCCCCACTAAAAGTGGTACTGTTCCAATGTCACATGGCCACCACAGATGATCTGTCCATGCCATCTTGTTTAACCTACATTGTAACATAGAGTTTTTATCAGCAAAGGAGGAATTTTTTTAGCAATGAAGGAATTTCATAAAGTAATTTGTGTCAAATAACTATGTCAGATGCATAGGCTATATGATAATAACGTTAATGCCCCGCCTATTAATTATGGGTTCACCACACCACGAAGTGGTGGTGAACCCATATTGCTTTTTCTGATGTTTCTTCTCCTCCTTCTCCTTCTCCTTCTTCTCCTGCCATATCTTTAAATGGATTCAGCTTCTTCATTTTAGGGCCTAAGGTCCTGAAATTTGGTATGGAGGTACAGTGGGCAAATACCCCTAGGCGTTTTTTAAATTTTTGTGATACAGGCTTTTAGAATGGTTTTATTTGAGTTTTTTGGCTGTCTTATAGCAAATGTATTACTGTGTTAGTGTGCCGTGTTTACCACGTCTGGGCATGAGTCATCACAATGGAATGCAGGGCATCAACCAATAGGCATGCAGCTTTCCTCTATACTTCTTGCTGATTGGCTGTTGGGATTTAACTTGATTAACACCCGCACAGAGCATTTCCACCTGCACAGAGCATTTCTTGCTGATTGGCTGTTGGGATTTAACTTGATTAACACATGCACAGAGCAATTCCATACTGACAGTATGTCTTTATTCAAGTGTTTTGGTAGGTATTTCAAGCTTTTCTGCTCCAGCATTGGAATGCGGGGCATGAACGTTTTTTATTTTATTTTGAAAATCAACAGTTTGCATTATGCAATTAAAAATCCTAACCAATAAAGTAGGGAATAGCTATCCAACTGTTGTTTTAGTTGTATGTTACTTCATATTATAGTTATATCAATGTAAACAGGGTTCTAGCTAGCGCTAAGTAGCGTCGGGGCCCGCGACGCTAAAATTTTGACCCGCTACGCCAATTTTCCCCCGCTACGCTAATTTTCAGTACAACGTAGCGGCATTGTGACTGCATTTCTTTGTTCAAAAATGCCAGATCAAATGTGAAAAATGTTTTTTTTAGCAAAGTAACGCACGTGGCGGCCCTCCCAGGAGAATGGGGCGTGCCTAGGCGGGGCCTTGGCTTCTTTACAACTTGTGTTGCCGCCCTTCTGTGAGTGACAGCGGCAGTCTCTTGACGCCCAGACACTGGCGTCAGGGTGTCTAGCCCAGTCTGTAGAAGGGATGCTCCGCCCCCTTCATAGTGTCGGCTTTCCCTCTGGGACGCCATATATGGGCTGGCCTATTTAACAATTCCCACGCCACGATGTATGTAGCACAAATATGTTTCCTCCCGTGTTCAACAGATCTCTCCTTGTAACTCTGGACATAAACACCTTCCACTAAATTGCATCAATTCTATATCTTGCCAAGGTGAAAAAAATACAAAGAGTTACTAGTACAATGTACTTAGTCACCAGCCTAATAATTAAAGTGCTTTACAGTTCCAGCCGGCTCCCGAAAAGGGGAGGGGCCTCTAAAGCCCACAGCGGCAAACTTGCGTTGGTTGAAAATTTGCCACTTTAGTAAACTAAACAAGGGAGTTCACCCCTTGGATCTGTTCATAGTTTAAACAAGTAAATACAAATTATTGCTCTCTTGTCAAATTTTTGCCGTTTTTCTTTACGGGCGTTTGTGATCTTTGTGACACGCGTGGGTTTTCCTGCCACATATGCATCAGTGCTGGTGCCATGCCGATTTCATGCTCTTAGCTACTGTGCGATCTATGTCGACATACTGGGTGTGCCTGTAATCATGTCAGCATCAAAGCTTGGCAATAACAACAAAGCCACGTGTTGAATCACGTCAAATTTCGGCCCAGCTTTGCAGAACAGAAATGGCACAAAGGAGATTAAAAGTGCCTCATAATGAGACACTATTAGCAGGCAAAACAGACGTATTTCTTATATTATTTATAGTTACTTTTTTTGCATGTAGAATATTACAACTTTGCACACCAGATGCTATGTTTAACATTTAATTTATCTCAGAGTCTGTTCTTGGTTGTGTCTGATTTGGAGTATCTTCTGTATTTTGTGAAGATTCCAAGCTGCAAAAATATAAAAATTACTAATCAAGGATACATTGTACATACCTTAGAAATGACATTTTTTCCCTTTGGGTATCCCTCAAATGGCTGCTTTTTAAGCTTAAATTTTTAAAAGCTCCGCACCGCGGAAGGGGGACACATCCCTCCTTCCGCGCAATCCCCCCTCTCGGTCGCTTCGCTCCCTCGACGTGCGTCAGGTACCACTACGCTAAAATAAAATCCTAGCTAGAACCCTGGTAAATCATTGTTTTCCCTTGTGTTTCTCATTCTTTCCCTGCCATGTGGTAAAATGTGGTGAACCCATCGCTGTATTTGCTCCAAAGCAAATATTGGCCTTTCTAGTTAATATTAAGTTGTTGAGCTGAACTGTTAATCTTACAACTTCATACAGCTGCAAAATTAGGCAGTGAAATTGGATAGTGTTTACATGTTGCATCAAAACCTTGCTACTGCATATTCTGTACAGGTTGTGTCAGCAATGATATGATCCAATCTACATTATCATATAGCCAGGTGACGTTGACCAATCAGAAGACTCCATTCCACATTCTTTATGTCGCCGTAATGTCACAAATAGAGTCAAAATCGGGTATTTATTCATCCCAATCCATACATTAAACAAAATGAATAATCACCCGCATATGACCTCAGGTGACCCAATAGAACACGGCTCTACTTCTAAAAAATAGAAAAATAACTTGAGTTGTGTTCCAATGACTCCCATAAGAACACCTGTTGACCCTGCCTTTGACCCAGATAGAACACGCCCCTCCCCCAGTGACCTCAGGTGACTCCAGATGGAACAAATATTCTATGTTCTATTCAGCATGTGCAAGGGGTAAATTGTACATTGTTTCACTCTTCACTGCATCAGTTTGGATAGGCTATCGCGTAAGCTATATAATAATAGCGTTACTGGCCCGCCCTTTCTCGGTGAATATGGTGTGATAAAGCCTCCATTTCCCATCAGTTATCAGGCCGTAATATGAATATGTGAGTGAATAATGAAAAAAATATGTGAGTGAATAATGAAAAAAAGTGGTCAGTTATTAGAATAATTGACCACTTTACCGTACCATTATACAGGGGACAGGACACTGACTACGCTCACTCGGTGGTTTATGCGATAACCAGGGATTATCTCTCCATTTACACCTCGGAGCGGGGCACTAACCCTTTACTAACACACACCTGGTAATATGCTCCACAGTACAGCAGTGCTGATGTGACCTGTAGACTGCCTAACGTTTGTGATGATAGGTTTGGTCTCCACAGTCTTGTCTGTCCGTACTACTGCGTACACGCGAGTACGTCTCCTGTCTGTGAACATCTCTGCACTCATCAGTCCAGGTACGTTCACAGACAAGTCAAAGACAAAACCTGAGTCACCTGGAGAGAAAACATACATGTAGTCATCATTCTGAAATCAAGGAAAAGTTGCACTTGAATTTCTGTTAATGCCCTTAACTTATGTCCTATTTGTGGGGACTTTTCCTTCCTGATAAGGCCCCACCCATTTAATTTTATGGATGACATCCCCTGAAGACCCCCAAAATAGTGCGTGTGGACGAATAAAAAAAAATTCTGGACAAAAATAAAAATGCTACTAAACCACAGGAATACAAAGCTGGTATTGTGAAATTGCGGCAGTACATAGTGACGTATACAAGCCGGCACATGCTGGCTTTGTTGAGGAATTTATGAATCGGTACTTTTGAGGGCAACAGACGAAAATCAATGCACGCGCAGATGTCATCCATAAAATTAAGTCGGTGTGGCCTAACTGCCCAGCCTGGGTCCAGGTTGGAAATTGTGGCCATGGCTTTATATGTAGCCTTTTTGGAGATGGCCCGCTACTATACACAGGATCATTAACGCTTGGGAAAATTGAGCCAAGGTGGCTTACAAGTTCCACCAACTGATAACACACCTTTCCAAGTATAGAGCATGAGTTTGACTCCCTCCACTGTCACACACAGATAGGTGACACCAGCAGCTGTGATGACCTGGATGTCCTTAGCTGTGCTGGGCAGGCTGTCCTGCTGCTGACGTAGGAAACGATTCCTCACCCCGTACTGGTAAACTGACAATAAACTCCCTGCAGAGAAAAGCGGTTTGTCAGTCTTCTTTGCAACACCTCAGCATAAACTGAAGCACTTTAAACATGGGCTCCAAGTTGATGACAAAGTCTTTGTGAACAGTTGGATCAACTTGGTATCAGACCGACTCAGCCCATGGCAAATCTGGACAACACAGCCTAGCACCCTCATCATCTCAGCCCAACACCCTGGTCATCTCAGCACAACACCCTGGTCAACTCTGCCAAGCACCCGGGTTGCACGGTGAATGTGTACAAAATAATAACAAGAATTCTGAGATCTCATACCTCCATGAAACATGTAGAGCTTGACAATGTGTAAACATTTTTTTTGGGGGGGGGGGAATTTGTCTCATTGATTTTGGAAATAAGGTTATGATTAACGTAATCTAGTTTCAATCATGGTTTTCTAAACTCAAATTACAATATTTTGTATGTGTTATTCCTATCTATTGGCAATATTGCATTTTAACATGTCACTCACACCACTTAATCCTGACAGGAAAATCTATCTGTCACCAAAAACCAAGACCATAGTATGTTCAGAACAAAAGATACAAATACCAGAAGTTCTGCTGTAGTACCAAGGTCAGCCACCAGGAGGCCAATATTTGACCTTGACCTTTGCCTTCCTACAACATACCAACATACCAATATCATCACAATCCATACAGGCATTCTGCTGACTACAAATGTGTGGAAACACAGACACACACACACAGACACACCACCAAAAACAATACCTCCATTTTTCATGGAGATAAGAACAGTCTTTGTCCAAAGTTCTTTGATAACTATGTCTACACATTTTGTCAGACAACTTTGAACTGTTAACTCTGAGGTTTTTGTAGCCGTAAACTTCCGAACGCTTGTGCAATCAACATAATTTTGATATATACCACATTTTGGTCCCACAACTTCAAAAAGTGATGAACTGAGGCACGTGTGGGATTGTGTGGAGCAGAACTCCAGTCAGAAGCTCTGAGGAAGCTGTCTGATTGAAACGTACGCAAGGCAGGAAGAATACCTGGTTGTGTGTAAGAAAATCATGTTCAGATGGTTACCACCATCTGAGTGAATTGACCAGGAAACTCTTGCGAGACTGCCCAAACATGACCTGCACAAGAGGTTGCTGGGACATCTCCAGCATCACGTCATTCGTTTGTAACCAGTGCTAACAGACGAACGTGCTTTTTCGACCTCCACCATCTTTCCCGCGCTTTCCACGACCTCTTCCTCAGCTTCGACCACCCAGACTCGCCTTCAGGCCCAGTTTTTATTTTTCCCTCCACGGCTGAGTTTATATCGGCCCCTCAGAATCCCCTTTTTGTCCTGAGTTTTTTTTTCCCCAACTATGTACGGAGCCGGAAAGAGGAAGATACGAGTGCCCACGCAGTACGCCATGTCACCCATGGACGACCCTGATATGATCATGAATGGCTTTCTACTCCGGCCGACAAGCTCACGGAGCAGCTGAACAATGAGATTCTCGACGTTTCCAAACACATAGAGCAAATGACTAACTTGTTCCATGAGCCTGGGAGGTTTGCTGAGTCAGCAGGACCACGTACAGGCTGTCCTCCGCAGCAAACAGCCGCGACTCCACAACACCGTGCTCAGGAATCCTGCCAATCAGGGTGAACCGCTGGATCCGCGACCGCCAGGAGTATATGTCAGCTGTGAAAGGTGCGCTGGCGTCGGGCGCACTGCTCTTGGACACAGTTGCAAATATCTGTAGATTAATAAAACAAGAATCTACTGGAGTCATTGGCTATACATGTACTTGACTGACTATAAATCAATAGTGATTCAGGGCTCAAAATACCGCCTGCATATGCAGGTTAGTACAATGGGACCTGTGCAGGTCTACATGCATCTACCCTGCATCAGTCCATGTACTAAATTTATATACATGTAGGCGTATGTGAATTTTAAATTTTATGTACAAAATGTAGTGTATTGAAGTTTGATAAATTAATGGCAATGGTTTTTTTAACAGTCTCGAGTATGATCTGTATAATTAATTCTAAGAGGTACAAGTAAAATTTGTCTGGTACAGGTAATTTTCCTTTGTTACCAGCATCAGTACAGGTATGCAGAACAAAAGTATTTCAAATCCTGTGAATGTACAACGGTAACAAATGTTATATAGTATTTTTTTAATCAGGAAAACTCATGCGGGCAAATCTGAGAGCTAAGGTATTAATATGATCTGGCCTTAGAGTGTTCATTTATATGCTTAGAAATGTATAAATTATGTTAACAATGAGCCATAACAGCTGAGGTTAAACACAGAATTGTTTGTGAGTGACACGTGTGGCTAACAATAACCTGATTAACTTGGACATCAATCAGTTATGTTGGAGTCAGTGCAAAGTTGAATCAAATGTTGCAGTTAATGTTGTGTATTAAGCTACGGTCACAACCCGCCGTACGTGCTTCTACGTGCTGTCTACGTGCAAAAACGTGGGCAAACGTAGGGCATCCAGTGTGTACCGCCTCCGTACGGAATCCTACGGATTTGGGAGCACACAGACACGCCGTAGAACTTTAAGTGCATGTAAAACTTTTTCTATGTGCGGTCTGCGGATTCACCACCCGTGCGAGTACGAGCGACACGCGTGCCGTGCGGAAGAAGCACGTGTTTGTACGGCCTCCTTACGGTAAAGTTGCAATCGCACAGAGATCGTACGCTGTAAGCACGTACAACTCACTTACCACTTGCGCAACGTACGATGCATGCAACCACTCGTGGCCAGACTTGGCGTGCAGACCATACTCTTACACCTTGTGCAACCGTGCGATTGACGTGCGTAGACGCCACTCCCTCCCCACGTTTTCAGAAAAAACGTAGCAGACGTAGCCTCCCAAAAAATGTACGGAGAAAAAGCATGTACGGCGGGTTGTGACCGAGGCTTTAAACAGGTTTACCTTTCCTCTATACTGAACCGTTGTGAGTTGGTGTAGTCCTTGTAGTTTTAATCCATTTATCAAACCATACCTCAGAGCTGTAGAGCGGTACACGAGAGCCTCATTCCCAGCTTCTCCTGTGAGAAAACATACATTGTTGCACATAGGAGTCTATGACATTTTTTGTTTGTTTCGCATAACCGGTAAACCGCCTTTAGGTATAACACACCAGTTTTGTACATGTGCGTACATGTACAAGCTGCGTAACACCGGACTGTAAGGTTTTGAACCACTTACACCGGGAAGATCCCCTACCCTTTTCGATAAGTCCGGTGGGTTCTTTAACGTGTGTGGGGTGTGGCTCTCCCAAACACAGGACCTCCATTTTACGTCCTATCCGAGGGACGTCCCTAACCGAAGCTAGGTACTCATTTCCACCTTAGTGAAGTGAGGAAATTCGTGTAAAATGCCTTTCCCAAGGGCACAAGATCGGTGACATGGGCAGGGTTCGAACCCGCGACCTCTGGGGTGTGGGCCGAACGCGCTACCGACTGCGCCACACGACCCCATTGTGTTTAAGAATGAAAGTTGCTTACATGTAGCTCACAAAGGCTCTCTGACTTGAACCATCATTCACTTCAGTTTTATAACACATGCATGGTGATGGGACTGAGCCCAGTAAGCACACTTTAGGCACACAGGGTACACTTTAATCTTGGAGAACAAAAGTGCCAGATATGTCTCCCATATATAGAAATGTGGTTGGTTTCCAATACATGGGCTATGATGTGGTTGTCTGCTCTGTGTAATCAACTTTACTAGGAAGGGTTACTGTTTGGATTGTGTACCAAATTTTCCACTGATAATACAGCAGCTGGATGTTCAGCACCATGGCAAGAGTCATTCAGCAGGATTTCTGCACAGCAATGCAATCAATCAAGGCAATTTATGCAAGTCATACCATTTTTTAAACTCAGTTTTCTTTCAATTGCTGTGCTGTAAAAACATATCTTGCATGACCTGACCACCACATAAATAATAAAAGTGTTCTTGTTGTTTGTGCTCAAAAACTGTCCCCATAGTGCCTGCCTTAAAAGGGGTTCTTGATTTTTTTTCATCTTTCGAAAACAAAATTTCACAATGTCATGTAACGGGGGGTGCCCTAATTCCGACTTACCCCTAATTCCGGACTAGTTTGGAAAATCATTGTTGCAGCATTATGCATGGGTGCATGTGCCTATATATACCCAGAGGAATGGATAAAGTTTACGTGTTGCTAATGGTAATCTCACAAAGTTTGTTCCAGTTCGTACGCTCCAACAACAGATGAGTGAATAATCTGTTTGAATTTGACGCTTCTTTAAGGGTTGAGGAGCGTGTTAGAAATGCAGTTTTGAAACAGCCACTTTGGAACAAATCGCGTAATGGTAAAAAGAGGACATGGAACATGGGTTGGAATTAGGACCCCTCCCGTTACCTTTCAGGATATGAATCACCCATCTATTTATGCATCAAAAGATAAAAGCCAACAGAATGCCTGCTTCTTTCTTAAAATTTCTAACTCCCCCATCGACTCTATTACTGGTAATTTTCTGCAAACAGACATAATCAGTAATCACACAGGGATCAGGGCATTATGCACTGGAAAGGTATGTAAGTGAGAACTTAATATTACTTGTGTCATTTAGCCCCTGTACACTTGAAGAAGCCACACAGGCAAAACCAGTCGTGTGACAAGTTGAATAAAAGTTCTAAACAGGAACTATGCGGCTACGGGTGTCTTACTGAGGGACGACTGCGTGTGCAAGATGTCGGTTTGCTGAGGAATGAATCCTCTTGAATTCACATTGCACACAGGGACAATTAGTAATGATAATCTTCTCAGCACTTAGTACCTGTGATGAGGATATATTGGTATGTTCCATCCCAGAAAGGCTCCACTGATATGCCCCTCCCCCATCGGCCAGGTGGTCGGAGAATAGTCTGTACAGGCACCAGGTGTTCTCCTGACCACTCATAGATCTGTAGGACAACAACCCACAACATGCTCAACATACTATCATGAAAGTTCATCTGTGTTGGTAGTTACATGTTTAAAGTTAAAACTTTTGTTCCAACACAACAAATTCTCACCTGGAGCTTTCGACCAGTCACTCTGGTCTTCCTCAGTAGACTGACCCAGTGAAGCTTGTCACATGGCTTCTTTGAAGTGTGACGTCAACACTGGGTCAAAGGTATCTGGCAGACGATGTCGACCCCGTCGCAGTTCAATGAAGGGTGATGGGCCCTGATGTATATGTCTACCAGATACCTTTGACCCAGTGTTGATGTCAAACTTCAAAGAAGCCACGTGACAAGCTTCACTGGGTCGAAAGCTCTAGGTGAGAGATTTGTTGGTGTTGGATCAAAAGTTTTAACTTTAAACATGTAACTACCAACACAGATGAACTTTCATGATAACCCACAACATACACGTATCATACTGTTATCATGAATGTGTTGGCACTGCCGCAGTAATCATAGTAAAATGTTGAACTTTATTCCAAAATGATTACAGATAAATCAAATTTACAACGACCACTGTTGCCTCCATCAGGATAATTAATGACCAATCACTTCCAAATGTTAAGTCACAAGAATTGTGGTTACAGACATGTGAATTTATTCACATGTGACATTAGGGATACATGACGTCAGCAATTGATCAAACGTGCCAGGGAGTTTATATCATCCAACCTTTCTATTAACTTACTTAACTGATGGCTGGAGTGCCCTGATACATATGGCATCCTTTAACGTAGCCCTGCTTAATAGAAACAGTGAACAATATATCAAACTCCCTGGCACGTTTGATTGACTGCTGATGTCACATATCTGTAAAGTCTCGTGTGAATAAGGTCACGTGTCTGTAACTGTAACTCTTAAGAGTTTATGTTTTGAAGTGCTGGTTATTAATTATCCTGATGAAGGCGACAGTGGTCGCTGAAATTAAAATCTTACTGTTGTTCCTCCAAGAATAGCAAAATGGTTAGAAATGAAACCAGATGTTAGTGGCCTGTTGTTTGCATGGCTATTATGGAAAAAATTTACTGGTAGTCTCTAAGAATGTATGTTGCTATTCAGAATGTAATCATCAAATAAATGATAATTTCTTAAAATTAGTTGGTGTGCTTGAAAGTTGTATTCATTAACATTAATATTGCCTAATCTCATTTCAAATTTTACCTCTTACAATTACAGGCATTTGTCTGAAATTTGTCACTTAATTGTACATGTGCCAGCTGGACGTTTTAAATTTTGTCACATATTAAGCAGCATAATGAATTTATTCTATAATTCTTCCTATTAAACATTGAAATCAAAAGCCAACATGCCTATAGTTTTTCAGTTCTAGCCAAAAATCCCAGTACTGCTACATGTGCATGCAGAAAAATTTTGTTTATTCATATTTACTACAGTAAATATCTTCTAAGTAGTAAGCTGTGACTTCCAAATACAGTATCATTATTTTAGTTGGCCTTTTGTTGTTTCATTTAATTGAAATGTCTACAAACACAGGGCTTCTTCAGTCTTAACAAATACATTCAATGAAACTAGAATGATACTTACTGTACTGTAGGCATATAAGCTGTCATCTGGTATTGTGGTACAGACAGTTGGGTACCAGTTGGTCTTATCATGTGTAGTTACTATGAATGTCCTGCAGAGACATCAGTTCTGAATCATTCTTCACACACACAGCAAGAGGTTATATCACAGCATCACAAATGTATCAGGATATTTTGCTGCCAAGGCATTTCACCATCACATGTAGCTAAATATCTGTTATTAGGGTTATTGTTAGGGTTTAGGGTTGAGGTTAGGTTAGAATGAGCATGAGGAGTTGGCAGTACATAATTATGTAGACATCCCCTTCACCACAAAACATTCTGATGGCTTGGTGCCTAAATGTCTGGAAAGCTCAGTACCACAAATAAAGCATCAGTCTGTGTGGAAGAAATCTTTAACAGTCACACCCCACCTCTATACATGGTAGATTGCCCAAATTGCCCATAGCAATGTTGCCCATCTTTACACTGAAACTCCTAGTCATCTCTCTGGCAGATAACAATAAACAACCACTAATATCTGAGATTCCTGTACTCCTAGAAATTGATACAACCTGTACCTGTACTTGTAACAAATCATAGCCCATTATGTACCAAAAAAGTCAGCCAATATAATGTTTCCATCAACTACACACAACTTCTAGATTTGTGTACAAATTATAATGTGTTGACTTTTGTTTCTGACATTTTTTGGTGTTGGTGCTGGTAGAATCGTATTGCCGTAATGTATGTGTCGCAATAAGCGGCTACTTTCTGTCTAGGCGGCCAGCACATCATGGCGGATTTTCGTGCCGTGCCGCTGAAATCCGCGGCCAAATTATAGGTCTTTACGCAGGTTAACTGGCAGCTTCAGCGAAGAAAACCACAAGTATTACATCTAAAGATTATCACAAGTGGAGAAGTTGATAGTTTGGGTGTTATTTCTTTATTTTCAAGACTGGTTTGTTAAATGATCTTCGCCGGATTGGAACTACACGTTCTGACAGGCGCTCCGTACGAACTTGGCAAAGTCGTAATTTTCTCAAATTCTGTCCGTCATATAAATCAAAAGATCATAAAATATGATTATTAAACTATTTTCTGACCGAGTATAGTCAGCAGTTTGGGCCTTATATCAACGTGGAGACCGTTAAAAACAGCCGTTCTGGGTGCCCCATACACATGCACCCTGCCGTCATAGCGTGTTTTCTGTGCACTTTTGACGCCGTCAAAACGTGCTGTGTGGCATGCTTACATAGCTCTAGAATGATTGTGTTTTCCAGCTGACCTGTTGGTGAAGCTGTATGAAGTGATGTGAACTGTTGGGCTGAAAGTGCTGCTGTAGACTGGGATGAGGGGCTGGTCTGCTGATGATGTCATCATGTAGACAGTAACAGCCTGACAGCTACACACCATGACATACTGCTGCAGCTGGTGCCCAAATCCATGCACGGAAATACTGTCCTCATCAAACAGGACTTGCATCTCAAAGTACTGTACAGGTAACCTGAAGGCTGAGGAAACATTGTTGACACAACGTCCCAACTTAGACTTAGGAACTCAAAATTTTAAAGCTAAATTAAATTGGACGTCAAAGGTCTGGTAGATTTAAAGAAAGTATTTCAAATGCTTAGGATTAGTGACAGTAATGTGAGCTCCCTTGGGCCACTAGCAAAAAATTAATCTCCAAGCATATTCTGTGGGGCAAATGGAGTCTATATTGTCTATATTACAAATGTAGCTATCCTGTAACTGTAACCATGTAGGCAATGGATAAAGGCAGCCAATATAGACTGCCCTTGCACCACAGAATCTGCTTGGAGATTAGCAGAAAATGTGAATTTTGGCAAACAACAGGCTGAGCATTAAGGGTTAAGGTTTACCAACTGGAGGTTTAAAATCAAAACCTTCTTGGGTATACCTTTGGTTCAGCAGTGTTCTAGTAGTTAAGAGTAAGGTAGGGGCTACATACCTCTCACAGTTACTACATGTATAACAGTTGTGGGTGCTTAGTCGACAGACTGTAACTTAACTTTATCACTTCTGGTTCAGAAGATCAGTGTATTGGTGTAAGTTGGAAAATTCATATCCAAATCACTACGAAAAAAAAAGCTTTTAAAAGCAACACCGTATTGTAAATAACTGAAATAACTCCTTAATAATAGAATGTAATAATACTCTCCTCAAGAAAAACATGCAGTTATACATGTAGATTAGCTTGGTAACATTGAAATTTAGTATAGCCACCGTGGATTAACTCTGTTAGAATTGTATTTTAGTATAGTTCATGTATCTACCCTTGTTGTTTCTTCTTTGCCATACATTGTACCAGTTACAGTTGTTGTTAAAGTTGATTATGATTATTATGATTTTAGTGTGAATACTGAAGGTGACATAAGCAGGCCTACCTGACAGGAAAGTGTTGAGTGTGTTGACTGCCTGACAGGTGTGGGTCCTGTGATGAGGCAAGTACTGGGACACGTCAGTGTACATCTGCACCAGCTGACGACTCCCTTCACGCAGACCCTCAGGATCATACCTGCCCACAGACAAGCTGAAGCCCACCCGGCCATGGACTGACACATTCCCATACACATGAGTCAGTATCAGGAAGGAAGTACCTGAAAACAATATTTTGTACCATCAAATCATCATCATCATCATCTATCATCCTCCGAAGAGGTGGAGCATACAAAGTTAGATCTCCAGAACTGTTTGTCATTCATCACAGAGATAAGTTCCTGGCCCTCCAAGCCTGTTTCAGTTTCTATATGTTATGTATACTATGTACCATCAAAATACTGGACAATTAATCCTAAGAACACTGAAAGATAAATTCTTAAATATTGAAAGATAAAGTTCTGAAAGATAAAGTTTTGAAAAATTCACAAATGATAATAAATGATAGTGGGGTCCTTTTATCATAATTGTTCAAAATCTCAACTTACTCTCATGTTTCAGGGCTCCCTGCATTAAGGTCTTCATGTCCAACTTATTGAATAAGCCATGTAATAAAATGTCAGACTGCTTGGAAATGACCACATTGCCAATAAATGTCTTCCTCCCTGCAGATAGAAAGAGGCACTGTTAATGTCTTCAGTCAGAAAGTGAAACAATTCAAGAAGCATTCAGCAAAACTTAGTTTGAAAATATTGTGGAAAAGACGACAATGGTAAGGCCACACTGATTTAATTTGATGGATGACATCCACCCGAGGATTGATTTTCGCCGGTTCTAAAAAAAAATCACCTCCTCCGTGGCTCTGGGTGCTATCCTCCCAGGCTGCAGAAGCTCCATAGAACTCAAGAACTCAGTACAATGCCGACTCGTAAATGCTGCAAAAAGCCAATATGTGCCGGCTTGTCATAAAAGTTGCTATATACTACCACAAATTCACTATACCAGCTTTGTATTCCTGTGGTTTAGAAGCATTTTTTTGTCTGGAATTTTTTTTTATTTGCCCATGCACACTACATGTAGTTTGGGGGTCTTAAGAGGATGTCATCCATAAAATTAAGTCAGTTTGGTCTAACAGAAAGAATACCAAAGCAGGTGGAAGTTTGAACGGTATCAACATGTACATGACCTACCGGTGATGACCTGATCACCATGGACCCTCATCATCCTGCTGACCTCCACACCATCTATGTGCCCAGTAACCCTCAAGCCAGCTGTCACATGGACAGATCCCATCCTCACACTTCCATGCACCTGTCTTCTTCCATCTGTCAGTACAGACAGACGTTCCCACTCAGATATGTCCACTCCATTCACAGTCTCATCTGGACCTAACTGTGGAAGAAGGAGGGAAAAGAAAGGACTTAACAAGAGTTCCACGTCCTTTGCCAGATGGCGTTAACATTAAATTTTATGTTAAATTAAATGTTTCTCATTGATTTAACAATCACTCACTCACTCACTCACTCACTCACTCTCACTCAATTAATCACTCACTCACTAATAGAATTATATCAGTTGACCATATCCTCCACCCATCGAGTCTTATCTTAGCAAAGAAAGTTATTCTAGCTTTTCCTCATAAATTGTGCAAAACAAATCCTGATTTGAATAAGTTAGTAACTTATTCAAAAATGTTAAATGATGTTCACCGTTGCTTAACTTACAAATGAGCAATTGCCATAATGAAATCTAGCATTTTATCATCAATTATGCAAATTAGGTCATTTACATAATCAACATCTGCTAATGTTCCTCTCATTCTCAACTACATGTATATATGTCACAAGTTTGAATAGTCCTATATTGGAACACAGCAGAGTGTAGAATTTTGTTGATTATGCAAATTAGATCCTGATTTACATAATAGTTATCTGATTACGTCAAGCAATACTTAAGTTACAATGTACCTACTTTATAGAAACCAAAAGTCATTACCATCTGTCCACCAGTTCTTGAGTTATCCTCCCTTGAAGATTTTTAAACAAATGCTCTAGCCCTGCAGTTCCATAGTCAGAAGAACTACAGTAGGGGAGTGGGACCCAAACTCATGCTTCTTCCGGAGCAAAAGAGCTACATGTGTATGTATCTACATTTTGTACCACTTGAAATTTGTGAGCCTAGCATTTTCAGATCACCAGATAACAAAACAGGAAATTCCAGTGCAGTAACATGACAAGTTGCCAGGGGGCCAGAATCTGATCATTTTGAGGTCTCATCAAGATCTACCCACCTACTGTACTATGTTTCATGATAATCCATTCATAGCTTCTTGAATTATGCTGCTAAGGCCATACCAATTTAATTTGTTGGTTCTCTCAGATTTTTTCAGAAAAAATATGAAGCGACAGGGCGAAAAGAAATAAAAATAAAAACAGATCTAGGCATCCTGTTATAGCCTCAAATGCTGCCATGAAGTCATCCGAACAGGCTGGGTTAATATTTTTAAAAACAATGAATTTTGAACTTTTAATCAAATCACTGCATTGGCAATTGGTAGATAGAAAAACTGTAACAACTAGGAAGAAAAGGACTTTTCTCCACTGTTGGGGGTAAAATATGAGTATTTTTTATTTGATTCAGAACCAGAACTTTTCTTTTTTCTTTATTTTTTTTGCAAATCAAAAAAAAATGAAGAGGCGCATCCAAGAACCAACAAATGAAATTGGTATGGCCTAGACCACATACACACATTCACTCTAATATCATTTAATATGTGAGACATTTACTGCTTCACATACCTCAATATCGCCAATGATCCTGAGTGGGAATCTGAAAGTCTTTTCCTGTATGGTGCTGGTGGATTGTGAAGTCAGCCAGACGTTGTGAAGGACAACACTGTTCAGGGCACCCCCTAGCTGGAGACTCTGTGTCTGCACCACACACTGCCACGTGTGCAGACCAGTTATCACTTGAGTACTGGACCTACAATGTATACAGGAAGGTAATGTGATGATACAAAGTTTAATGTTTCGCAGAGGCAAAAGTATTGGTACCGGTGTGTGCTCTTCTCTGGCATGAGACAGACTTCAATGTTAGAAAAGGTTGTCCTGTGTTTTGTTGGGGGATGGGATGGTCCAACGGTCCCATTTGTGGTTGCCCCCCAGACAAAAAGCTATGGAATTCCAACAGTCTACTACCCAATCAGGTGTTTCTGACCAGATCTGCATTTTGCCTTTTCTGTCAAGACTTTTAACAAATAAATCTAATATGCTTCAGTTTCTCTCCTTGATCATCAGGACACAGTAGTACATTTTGAAAACAAAATGTTTAGTATGTTTAAGTACATAATCAATAGAGTTCACCCCACAAAAAGGTCAAAATTTACCTCCTAAGGACAGCAGAGCTGAAGATGGGGACATCTAGCCCAGTGAGGAGCCCTGATAGTACAATCTCAGATGTTGTCAGATGATTCTTTAGACCAGTCGAGGCCATAAGTAGTTTTCTACCCATGATGTGAGTTGTCTTGTTCAGAGTTACCCTGAAATGAGACTCTGATTATTACAAGATAACTGTCAAATTGAGGATCAAGATATTCCATACTTCACAGTCACTCAGACACATGTAACATTATTTATATATAATGTACAATATGTACCATAATCTTATTGTAGTATGTACTATTGCAGGGCTCAAAATACCTTTTTCTGCATACCTGCACTGGTGTAGGTAACATTGAAAATTACCTACACCAAATATTCCCTGAAACACTTAGAATTTTATCATTAATAGGTGGTATGAATCATAATAAAACTATTTCTTGTTCACTTCATAGGTGGTATAAATCAAACTTTTTGCAGCAAATGAAAGTCCACACACACACTTAAATTATGTATATATCATGTATATGGACTGGTGCTGGTTTGGTGCAGGTAGACATCAGAAATCTTGCTCAGCGATTTTACTAGGTGGTATTTTGAGCCCTGCACTATTGCACAACTGGCAAAATTCACTTATCAGAGGTGTTCATTAGTCCCTTAATCAAGAACAGCAACAAGAAAATGGAAACTTCAGACTTCCATGAAACCATGATGTTTACATGAAAAGGGGCTCCGTTTGCCTAGAATGATGCGATGTACATGTATTACCAATTTCAATTACAAATCTCCTTTTTTATCATGCAGCTGTCAACGAGGCCATACGTGTATAACTCCAGAAATACAGTAACTGAAAAAAAAGTGATTTATGACTTTCTCACTATGAAACAGACTGAACCCAGCTATATCCATTACAACCTCAGTGTACAAAAATTTTAGGTTGCCCCACCTAATAGTATAAGTTACTATATAGCTACTTTCCTCAAATTAAGTAATGTTACATACATGAGCCTTTGACAATATTTCTAACAGCCTTTAGTTAACTGATACTAGTAATAGCCATTAAAACCTAAAATTAAAAAGCATTTGCCAGATACAGTGGTGCAAGCCAAGTGGGCATGATTTGGGGGGGGGGGGCATTCTTCAAATTCAGGTAGCACACTAGGTTCAAAAATAGGTCGCCCCAAGTACAATTTGATTGCCTGGGGCAACTGGGCAACCAGGTATTTTGCACGCTGAACCTAACATAAGGGCCATGTGGAAACATAGACACAGACAGACACACACACACACACACAAACAGACATACCAAAAACATTTCCTCCAATTTTCATGGAGGTAACCACAATGTGAACACCACCTAAAGTGCTTCATCTGTCAGTACCAACTCAGGGCTGACCTTTGTGAGTTGACATCTTCCAGATGAACCCCAGTAGTTGTTCCTGAGACAGACAGTTGAGTAATGATGACATCCTGGAATCTTTTGTGGTCAGAGATGATGTGATCTCTAGTTAAGGTCATGGCTCCATGTTGAAATTCATTGACAAGTATCCCATTCAAGAAGCCTGGTAGGAGAAATAGTAACCTGAATGTCAACAACAAGGACAGAGAAATTTTCAGTACCAAGGAGACATTTCTAGTACTAAGGCCATACCAATTAAATTTGTTGGTTCTCGGATTTTTTTTCAGAAAAAATATGAAGCGACATGGCAAAAGAAAATAAAAATAGAAAAAGGGTCAAGCCATCCTATTATAGCCCCAAATGCTTTGATAGGAGCCATGAAGTCAACACAAAGGGAAGGGGTTAAAATCTAAACAATGCATTTTGAACTTTTAATTAAACCACTGCATTGACAGATGGAAAAACTGTTACATCTAGGAAGAAAAGGACTTTCCTCAACCGTTGGGGGCAAAATTTGACCATTTTTTAGTTGATTCAGAACCATAATCTTTTTTTTTTTTTGCAAATCAGAAAAAAATGAAGAGGCAAATCCAAGAACCAACAAATGAAATTGGTGTGGCCTAAGGAGACATTTTTAGAAATAAGGAGACATTTTCAGTAACAAGGAGGCATCTCCAGTACCAAGGAGACAAGTTTAGTACAAAGAACACATTTTCAGTACCAAGGACAGAGGCATTTTCAGTACCAAGAAGACATTTCTGTACCAAGAAGACATTTCTGTACCAAGGAGACATTTTCAGTACTAAGGAGACATTTTTAGAATTAAGGAGACATCTCCAGTACCAAGGAGACAATTTTAGTACAAAGGACGCATTTTCAGTACCAAGGACAGAGGCGTTTTCAGTACCAAGAAGACATTTTCTGTACCAAGAAGACATTTTCTGTACCAAGGAGACATTTCCAGTACTAAGGAGACATTTTTAGAAATAAGGAGACATTGTCAGTTACAAGGAGACATCTCCAGTACCAAGGAGACAAGTTTAGTACAGAGAACACATTTTCAGTACCAAGGACAGAGGCATTTTCAGTACCAAGAAGACATTTTCTGTACCAAGAAGACATTTTCTGTACCAAGGAGACATTTCCAGTACTAAGGAGACATTTTTAGAAATAAGGAGACATTATCAGTAACAAGGAGACATCTCCAGTACCAAGGAGACATCTCCAGTACCAAAGAGACAATTTTAGTAACAAGGACACATTTTCAGTACCAAGGACAGAGGCATTTTCAGTACCAAGAAGACATTTCTGTACCAAGGAGACATTTTCAGTACTAAGGAGACATTTTTAGACATAAGGAGACATTCTCAGTAACAAGGAGACATCTCGTACCAAAGAAACAATTTTAGTACCAAGGACACATTTTCAGTACCAAGGACAGAGGCGTTTTCAGTACCAAGGCATTTTCTGTACCAAGAAGACATTTTCTGTACCAAGGATACATTTTCAGTACTAAAGAGGCATTTTTAGAAATAAGGAGACATTTTCAGTAACAAGGAGGCATCTGCAGTACCAAGGAGACAATTTTAGTACTAAGGACACATTTTCAGTACCAAGGACAGAGGCATTTTCAGTACCAAGAAGACACTTTCTGTACCAAGGAGACATTTTCAGTACTAAGGAGACATTTTTAGAAATAAGGAGACATTATCAGTAACAAGGAGACATCTCCAGTACCAAGGAGACAAGTTTAGTTCTAAGGACGCATTTTCAGTACCAAGGACAGAGGTGTTTTCAGTACCAAGAAGACATTTTCTGTACCAAGAAGACATTTTCAGTACCAAGGAGACATTTTCAGTACTAAAGAGGCATTTTTAGAAATAAGGAGACATCTCCAGTACCAAGGATACATCTCCAGTACCAAGGAGACAATTTTAGTACTAAGGACACATTTTCAGTACAAGGACAGAGGCATTTTCAGTACCAAGAAGACATTTTCAGTACCAAGAAGACATTTCCTGTACCAAGGAGACATTTTCAGTACTAAGGAGGCATTTTAGAAATAAGGAGACATTTTCAGTAACACGGAGACATCTCCAGTACCAAGGAGACAAGTTTAGTACTAAGGACACATTTTCAGTACCAAGAAGACATTTTCAGTACCAAGGACGACACTTGTGGTACTAGTATATTGGAAGAGAAAGGATGTATAGAGTATTGTCTCTTGATCACCATTGTTGAGAAGGTTAATATATAATAAATATGTGTTATATGCATTATTTGAAATGAAGTGAAATGCATTATTAGTGGTGAAACAGACACACAAACACACACATAGACAGACCAAAAACAATACCAATGGAGTTAACAATGAAGTTTCCTCATCACCTTGGATAATCATGTCCCCTGTGAGGTGCACATTTCCATGGATGGTCTTGGCTGCAGTAATGACCTGAGAAGACTTGGTGTCCATGGTCTGGTCTGCCACCTGAGTCAAGTTCACCTGATCTATCCGGCCGTTCTGTGATCTGATATTTCCATGCACATGGACAGGCATCAGGAAAGTCTTCTGGCCATAGATGATCTTCCAATGAGAATTAAAAAGAAGATTATTGGACACCTGTTCATTATTACTGCTTATAACAAGTGTATTTCTGCAAGCTACTGGCACGGATAATAGAGTCTTGCTTTTACATACAGTATTTGCAGTTTTATAATACAGTATTTGCAGTTTTATTGCGGTCAACATATAACGCAGGAATTAATATACAATGTAGTTGTCAAGATTGTATGGTTGCACTTTGTTTTCCAGAAAATGACTTCTCTAATTATATTAAGGGGTTGTTATAAAAAGCTACATGTACCTGCACACGAGAGATATTTCCCATTGAATGCAGTGGAAAATGAAGCACATTTTGTTAGTCAGTGCACTCACTTTGAAATCAACAGAAGCAGACCACTTCTCACAGCTGCCACTTTCCCCATCCTTAGTGAAGATCACCAAAAGACATTTACATGATATTGTATGTCTCTACTAAGATCACAAAACCCACTCATTATGCAGAACATGAACTTTTCATTATCCACTGCCTTCAAAGAAGTCAAACCTCATAATAGCAAGTGTAGTTACTGTAACGTTAGTAGTATTAGTTGATCAGACAGTAGTTGTATGTTCCCTATCGCTTTGTTTTACTTTCTTTGACACTGTAGAAGCAATGAGCCTTTTTTCATGATTTTGCAAAATAGAGAATTTTTCTAACCTTTCCATCCAAGTCCAGGGACAGGTCCAGTCCATCTGTCTGTCCTCCTTCATGGAGACTGATGTTCCCTTCGCTGATGACGTCTTTAAACATCACGCCTGTGTAACACGTGTCCGTCACCAGCATGGCTAAATGGCAACAACAATTTGCTCGTCACCTTTCCCAAGATCTTACATACCGTAACATACGTTTTATTTATTAATTTTAAAAACAGTTGGGTGGTACCTAGCCTGGGTACCATCCTGGTTAGTTACGTCTGCTCCCACAGTCACTACCGACCAACTGTGGGAGCGGACGTATACTAAACAGAATGGTACCCAGGCTAGGTGGTACCTTCAGTTTAGGACAATACTAATACAGTACTGGTGGAAAGAGTGGTCCAGTCCAGACAATAGAATAGACAAAGAAATTTAAATGCAGGCCCCCATAAGCCAAATAGTGTCTTTAACCATACTTGAATATACAGGAACACATCATCATCATCTTCATGCATTGACTCTTTGGGATGTGGTTAGGCCAGGGCTCCAGCCAGCACCTATTTTTTTGTAAATCGACGGAACTTTGGGACACGTGACGAAAAGATTTGTAAGCCAAACTGTCAACCTTGAAGGACAAAGTCAAGAAAAAATCTAGGGTAAAAAATATAGAAAAATCCAAAGGACCACCTAAAATCATACTCAAACGCTTGATTTGCCTCGCAAAATGCTGGAAATTGTGTTTCCGAAGGCTTGAAAATTCCAAATCCTCCAATGGTAAACCTGCTGCACTATTCTTGCCCACACCACCCAGTCTGCCATGGCTGAAATTAAGTGGGGTACCTGAGTTTCATTTTCTGCCAAGGGGACAACCAAAAGTCAGACTGTTTCCCCATAAATTCTGACTGGGCCTTGGGAGTCTGCTGGAAAAAGAAGAATTTGGCCAAGAAAGAGTAAGAGTTGGTCAAGAGTCGAGTTTGCTGCACCTGAAGCCTGTCAGGGGTCGCTACATCAAACGGCATAAAAGTAATCCCTTTCTACGCTTTCCTAACCGCGTTCCATGAACCAGTCCCTGCGACTTCCTAAGGCTAGGTTGGAATGTGGCAAGAAAACCTTTGCTTATCGAGGTGCAGTGGGCTGGAATAAACTCCCACCCGGTGTTAGAACTGCACCGTCGATACAGACATTCAGAACACTGTATGCTCAAAGTGACCTCTGACTTCCCTCCCTTATTACGACCTGGCATGACCCCGATTACGAGTAATGGATCACGATTATGATTTGTTTTTGGTGTAAATATTGTTGTATTTCCGTGTATATATGTGTCGTACCCAGGGCCACTCTGAAAAGCAGTGCTATGACACTGAGTAGTGCCACCCTGGTAAAAGAATACAGAAATAAATAAATATAATTCTACTCTTTCCAGCCGCCTCCCAAAGCCTGGTAGAGGTTAGCTGGACTGCTTTTCCCACCAACATGCATAACAATTTGAGACATCAGTTGGCCTAGACCTACTAGACACAAGACAGTCATTCACTAGTACATGCAGGGAAATTCTACATGCCGTTCAGATTGGTCTACATTTGTACATGGCAAAAACTTTGTCAATACATGTTGTTCACTCATGCTGTAGGACTGATACATGAATCACAACTAGAACTGAAGGGCTGTTGTAGTGATATAATAAGCCAGTTCATGCTTTGAAGTGTGCATGTACCATATGATTAATTGTTGCATTGTAACAGTCTTGTGATAATCAGAACTGATAATTCAACAACCTTCCTGCTCCAACTGTAACACATCAGCTCCATTCAGTAACCCCTGGACAGTGAGACATGTCATGGATACGTTCTGTAGAAGGGTCCTGTGTCCATGGATGGTCTGGTTCATATGCTGGACCATCACCCTGCCAGGACTCAGGTAGGACATGTCCACTCCAGACAACAGACCTAATGAAATACACAATGTACATGTACATAGCCTGCAGTAATATAATGGTACACTCTCAGCAATGAGGAGTAGAACAACTTGTGCAAGGTTGGACTGTAGCAACAAACTAATATAGTGGGTTACACATGTCAGGGATTGGAATACAACACGGGGTATTCCATATCGCCGAGGTATCGGCCCGACCGTGGGTCAGATTGCCTGACGGTTGTAGGCCGGAGGGAGATCCGACTCGCGGGAGGGCCGGGACCGAGGGCGATGCGGAATACCCCATGTTGTATTTTATTTATGTCATACCTACTCAAGAAAACACGTCTTTCAATGTAAGATGAGCCAAAAGTTGGTGCCACTAAACCCCAAAAAAACCTGTATTCGATTTTCAAAAGCGGCACACGCAGTTAGGGCAAAACGCGTTTGAATCGGTTCTATGGAAGCCCGGGCCATACCGTAAAGTACGGCCCGGTCCGGAACCCGTTATCAAACATTATTGCAGCCCGGGTATGATATAATGTACCATGGACTATGGAAGATGGCACCCAGGCCAGAGCCTCATCGGAGGGCAAAAATCAATGCGCGCGTGGATGTCATTCATATAATTAAATCAGTGTGGTCTAATGTACAAGAAGTTTATGAAGTTTACATTCTTCTCAATGCTTACCTGTCACAGATATGTTCCAAATGGAAACTTCCATAAACACTTGTTTTGTTGCCACAGTTACAGAACCATCCTTCTTCACCGCATCACTTGTTACATTTTGTAGCTGCATCACTTCATCGACCTCTCCTACAACCATCAGATCGGCAACGATGTCAAGACTGCCTGCAAAGGTCTTCTTCCCTAGTACACTCTGGTGGGCATGTGTGAACAGTGTGTTCATCATCAGGTCTGTTAGGTTCCAATCAGACAATTCATGTACAGTCAGCTGCCCAGCAGCCAGTTTAGACAGGTGTACCTCATCTTGGAATGTCTGCACCCCACTACTGTACTGTGTAGCTTGGATAGTCATCACATCATCAGGAAGGTTTAGTCCATCCACTGTTCCATCAACATGTAGCTCTGTTAACGTCACTCCATCTACAAACACTTTGGAGCCAACAACCACCTGGGGCCCAGTAGTGACAAGGGCATCTGTTAATATTGCATTGACATCAGCGCCATTCACCAAACCTTCAACAGAGAGGTGGTCTGAGATGGAAACGTTGCCGAGGAAATACAGGTTGGATTTCAGATTAGCCGGCACGTCAGCAAAGGTGAAGTCAGTCCAGAAAGACCTTGAGTCCGAGGACAAATGTGCTGACATGTACGACTGGCTGACAAGAAGGACATTCTCTGGGACATTGTCAGGCTGGTGAGGTCCTACTGTGTTGTGGTAGAGATGAGTCACGTCCACACCATCCACAAAACCATCCACACTGCAAGGTGGCTGGCAGACCAAGAAATCTGCAAACGTCTTCACCCCAGTGATTATCATAACACCTGTATCAATAAAGTTTAACAAACAAAATCAGCCTGAGGATATAACCTGTAACTGAAAATGACAGCTATATTTATATAGAAAAATACCGAAACTTGTGATTAGCCCACTCGATTGTAACACTTTATCAAAGACTGGTGATATCCCTTATTATTTAACTGATTATGATATACAAAATGTAGATATGTTAGGTTTTAGTCGACATTAGGTCTTATTCAACACACTTATTTTATTGTTGTTACTCTCTTTATGTAGTTTGCCATACATCGTACCATGTGCAATTGTCGTGCAATAAAGTTCTTCTATAATACTTTACTTAATAATTCTTATAATATATACAAAACTCCCCATTTTTCTGGCGTACAGTACATTTACTATATAATATCAGTCTTTTAGAAGAGTCCTTCATATGAAATCAATATTCGATGCCCAAAACTCAAACCATTAGCGTTAACTATCCCAAACACAGTTTACAGGTAAATAAAGATCACAAGTTGCAACATTACTAGTAACAAAATGCCTGATCCTCAACCATCTGAAAATAGAACGGGTTGCATAGTATTTGCTTGTTTGAAACCAAACAACATTATCATATTTTTTTATTTTTTTGAGGTTGTGTTAAAAAGAAACTTGTCTACTATATGGATTTTTTTTCATAACTTATCCATGTAGTAGCCACAACCATAACTGTCATGTCATATTGGTTTTGTAATGATCCCATGAAATGTATCCTCTGTAAAAATTGTCGCCAAAGCAAACAGTCAGGAAAGTTTTAGTTCAATTAGCCACAACTTTGGTTTCATCATATCAAAAAACCATGAGGTGTGTAAAGATGCATTAAATTTTAAGATTATATTACAAACAACATAGTCTGTGTCTATCTCTATATAATGTCACTGAATCGTAAATGAGATAAAAGAGAAGGATTCTTACATACCAGATTGAAGATCAGTCATCAGATTCTCAACACTTTTCCACAAGATGTCAGCAGCAAACCAAGGTAATTCTATGCCGTTAATCAGTCCTGACACAATACTGGAGTTTCTCAGAACAATGTTGGTCTGGAACATGATTTGCCCTGAGAAATAGGGGGAAACTCAGCTCTAGAAACAGGTCATGTTACTTCATGTATGTACCGGGTTGATGGAAAAAGTGGTCCAACTTTTCTGTCTATATGACGATGTAGTTGCTGGAAGTGGTCAAATCGTAAGTGGTCTGGTATCTGCACTGATGTGTTCCATTATATCCAAACATGAAAGACTCTGATTGGCTACCGGGTAATGTCATTCTTTAATAACAAAATTCAGGGAGACCGGACCTCTCTTTCCACCAACCCAATATGTCCTATTTTTCTAAATCATAACAAATTAATTGTATTCAATTTTGCAACTTACCAGTGTATTTGGCAACTTTAGCAGTGAATTGAGTTTGGACTTTGCAGCAGTTGTATTCTACAGTAACAATATTCTGACATTTCCCCAAGTAGTCCCCACCCAACCAAAATACATTTTGGCAACTACCTAAACCGGGTTTTTCTGGACCATTCCAATTTGCTTCATAATTGTAGGGGTGCATCTGAAATATTACGTTGACTGCGTAAACAGCAACAGCAAAAATACATATTCGTGCATCATCACGGGCATGCCCGCAGACGGCGTATAAGATTGCATGCTGATTACAGTGTTCTAGCTGCGAACAGAAGAGAACCCAGTGTTCTAGCTGCGAACACAAAAAACGCTACTCACAATACTCCGTCCAGAGGTCATGGACCTCCTTCACGGAGTAACAACAGTTCAATACAGACCAAATAGATGACATCTCTACACTTACCATTTATCTCTTGATCTGACTCCACAGTCAGGATGTTTGACAACAAAATGCCATCAGCCGTTCCCCCCAGGACCAGCACTCCTGTACTGGTTATGACCACTCTGTTGTTCAGGAACACGTCACCAGTCATGATGTGGTCTCCTTCCCAACGTGCCACATCTCCTGGCAGGAAGACATTGTTGATGGTTCCAGCGACTGTCAAGTCTTTAGTAAATGTGACGTCACTGAGCACAGTCCAGTCAGCAGAGATGATCTGGGAGGAGTCTACTCTCATCACAGTTTCACCTGCAAAAGCCAAGAGGTCACTTTCTTTGGAGCTGTCAAATATTATTGAGTATTCCAATAATGTAAATTTAAAGCTTAAATTTAATATAAAGCTTAAAGGCTTTTCAATAATATGAAATAGATAAATTGTATTTACATGATAGATATGATTAACTGAAATCATTTTTTTCGGAAGTTAAGTAGGGGGATAAGATTACAAAATTCTACAAAGCATTTGTTGCTTAGCACTGTTTCTAGGTTTATCACTTATGACAAGTAAATCACTCTACAGTCATATCCAGTCAACAATTTGCCACTTTGCCAAGACCACAGGATATTGCAGTCAGACATTGTAGTTGTATCTATATAAGTCAGGAATCATGAAGTATAATGTCTGTAAATGAGTAAAGCACATACATCAGAAATGGTTCAAACATTGACTGAACACTTGTCGTAATACTGAAACCTGCTCCATGATATACATGTATGTTGAATTTATGGTTTCTGACTTTGCATTTTGTGGTAAATAAAGTACTTTTGATAACATAGAAACTTTCTTATAACAGTCAAAAACCAAAACAGAGTGTTTTACCGAGTTGGCAGATGTCCACCTGGTCAATGGTGCCAGTTATAGAGACATCTCCCTGGACATCCACGGTTGTGGTGATGACACAGCTGCCAGCGAGCCTGACAGGTGCACCACCTACCTGCAGGTACACTACAGCACCTGCCAGCGATGATAAGTCAACAGTACTGACGGTCAATTCTTCTTCCACGATCACTTCACCCTTACAGGAGATATCATCTCCAAAGGTCAGAAAGCCTGTAACATTTTGGTCTTCTTGAGTCAACAAACAGTCTTCCAACAACATGTCATCAATACTTCCACTGACGTCCATGTCCTGGTGGAAAACCACCCCCTGTTCAAAGGCCTTTGTAGCAGAGATGTCATTTGGTATGTGTTGAAAAACAACATCTAGAGGAATGTGCAAGTCATCAATAGTTCCTAACACTGTGACATTGCCTTGAACTGTTAGAAAGGGAAGTGTTAGGGTAGCATGAACTGACTGGTCAGCTTGGTTGTTGTAAAACATGTTCTTTACAAGGTGCCTGAATTTCTCCTTGTTAATGATTTCTGCATCAATGTTTTTAGAAGTAGACAAATGTTTGACTTTGAGGCTTTTGATGTGTTTATCAGTGGTAAATGTCTGTTCTCCAGACTTGGACAGGTACCTCGGCAGTGAGTCCATGATGTCCATGGAGGTACTGTACATGAGGAGTATTGAGGCCATTAAGTCCTCATACTCCTGCACCGCTTGCTTTTCCTCTTCAGTGACAATAGTGTCATCCCACTCTGTAAGCCAGTGTGATATGGTGATGTTTTGAAATGATTTCCGCCCCTCCACAAGTTCAGACATGTTCAGCTTCACCTCTTTCATTTGGATATCTGAGCTAAGTTTGCTTATACTTTTTTCCACGTTTTGAAGTTCAGCACTTAACCAAACACCTTCACCCACTGTAACATGTTGAAAACCCATCAGGTTTCTTCGTTGTAGAAATGTGAGCTTAAACAGCCTGGCCTCATCAGATATAAACATCAGGTATGATGAAGTTCCTGCATAAAAGCTATGGATGTCCTTAACTCCAATAAGGTCTGAATGAGAAGAAAAAATGGAAGATTGTTCAAACTTGTCATTGGCGAGCTGGTATGTCTCTACACTGTCTTTTGCATTTGTGACCAACAAGACCGCTTGTTCTTGATAAAGTTGTACTGACTTTGTTACATCAGCATCAGTCAGAGGGATATCCTGATAGGGGACAAAGAAATAACCGTTCCAGCGATAGATGACACATTCACAGTTGTAGGTGTCAGTGTGCTGGAGAGTGGAGGTCCAGGCAGTTCTCTGGGTTACTGCTAGAAAAGCATCTGGTCCAGCAGTAAAAAATTCCAAGTCTGTAGTAACATAGCCCGGTAGCATCTGATAAACCTCAAACTCATTCTTGAATGGAAGAAATCTGCAGGAAAATAAAGTCAGTACATAAAGATTTCCAACATCATCCAAATTCCATGCCATGGAATATCTAAGGCCGTATCTAAGGAATGTGTGGCACGTGGACCAGATGTGAGGAATGTGAAAATCACTGTCAGTGCCTTCATGTACATAAGACCTTGTAAACGTGGCCTGTACTTTTGTTATGTCAATCAAGTTCCTAATTTAAACGTATTCATCTAAGTGCACGTACATGTAAATATTGCCTTCAGTACACTGAGGAGCTTTGGAAGTCATAATTTCAATGAACATGGGTAAAGAAAGAGAAAGGTAAGACAACAAATGTTGAACTTGATGAAACATGCTTAACACCCGTTCTCATTCAAATGTACAAAATGCTGCCGCCACTCTTTACAACTAAATATGAGTCAAATCATGACTCTCATCAATGGAAAAAAGGAAGGTGTGCCTCAAAAACAGTTCATCAATTTTTCGACCCTAAAATTACTGTTTTGTGCATTTCAATGAGAATGAGCCTTAATTCTTACTTGTAGATTAGTGAAGAGTTGCGTTCTGTTCCCTTAGCTGAATCAGTGGGGCAGTTAGCTACTGCCAGGTAAGACTGTTTCTGGATGGTGAAGGGTTCAATGTCACAGGCAGTCTGCACTGGGATATCATACACCTAAGGACAAAACACAAATCTGCTGTCATTATAGGAGACAATAAGGTGAGTTGTCAGTCTATTTTTGATTCCTTACAAATCAGGGCCATTAACGTAACCACACCATTACCTTAACGTAAACTTAGGCCACACCAATTTATTTTCTTGGTTAACGGATTCGCCGCTTCATTTTTTTCTGATTTGCAAATAAAAATAAAAATCCAGAATCAACTGCAAAATGCTCATATTTTGCCCTGAAAAGTTGAAAACAGTCCTTTACATCCTAGTTGTTACAGTTATTTCATCTTTCAATGCAATGGTATCATTAAAAGTTCAAATTCATTGTTTAAATTTTGAACCAGCCTGGTGTGTTGACTTCATGGCTCCTATCGTACCATTTTGGGCCATAATACGATGCCTAGGCCTGTTTTTATTTTTATCTTTTTTTCGCCCGCCCGCTCCATTATTTTTCTAGAAAAATCCGTTAACCAAGAAATTAAATTGGTGTGGCCTTATTTAAAGTTAAAACTTTTGGTCCAACACAAAAAATTCTCTCACCTAGAGCTTTTGACCAGTCACTCTGGTCTTCCTCAGTATTTTATTTATTGGTTCAGCTGTACAGATGACAGCCAAGGTTGCCCAACTAGTGCCAGGACTATTTTAAAGGGCTAACCTTGGGGACAGAGACAACAACATACATACATACATGTCAGATGAAAATGGGGCATTAACATCAGAATTATCAGATATAGAATTTACATAGTTATAACAGGACTTAGCTAAGGTGCACTAAGAGGAGTAATATTTACATTGGGAGGTCAGGGTCAGCGTTCAAAATGTATCTTCCTCAGTACACTGACCCAGTAAAGCTTGTCACGTGGCTTCATTGAATTGTGACGTCAACACTGGGTCAAAGATATCTGGTAGACGATGTCGGCCCCCGTCATGGTTCAAAGAAGCCATGTGACAAGCTTCACTGGGTCAGTCTACTGAGGAAGACCAGAGTGACTGTTCGGAAGCTCTAGGTGAGAGAATTTTTTTGTGTTGGACCAAAAGTTTTAACTTTAAACATGTAACTACCAACACATGATAGCTTTGATGATAGCTTAATGTAAACTCTTAGTCTTACATGTTGCTAGCAAAATGCATATCACTAATTTAAAAGCATATACTATGCTGATGAATGTGTGAGCAGAGGGCAGTGTTATTGATACAAAATCTACAAAATGTGTAAAATTTTATAACAAGAAAATGAACCATTTATACTCTAGCAACTGAGTAGTTCCCTTCAATGCTGACCCATGTGTAGGAATGATGTTGACCATAATCCTTTAGGATAACTGCTAAAGATCCAGGTGATTTTTGGTTCAATGCAAGAGGACTAAGTTGTTACGGCTGAAAATTGATCAATGAGCAAATATCCACTAATACATTACAAAGATTATTTTCAAGATGCCCTTAGATTTCATAAAGTAGCCCGATTTTTGGGTGGCAATGGGACGACTGTTTGAGATAAGAGTCGACCAAAATCGAATGGAAAATATAAAATACATCACACAGTTACATATAACATGTAGATTGACAAACTTGCTTCTGCTGTTGAGCCCCACTTTAAAAAATTTTATTCATCCACAAAAGATATATATAATATATACGCAGCATATAACAAAAAAAAGAATTATTAAGGCTCACACAATTTAATGCTGAATGACGTACAAGCACCAACCTTGTCAAAATAGGCACCGTCCCAGTAGTATATATGTAGCAACATTGATCCTAAAAGGCAACCAAAAAGGCTGGAGCTGTGAAAGAGTTACATGTAGGTGCTCAAGGTGTGGTTCTCGTCATGAATAGGACCTCCATTTATTAATAACATCCTATCTGATGTTTTCAGGGGCATTCATGTGTGTGTCCGTGTGTCTGTAAACATGATAACTTGAGAGGGCTTAAATGGATTGTATCTGTATCTGTAAGGTTATAGCCGGTTTGTCTTGATATTTGATAGGTAGGTACAATGTACATGTAGGTCTTGATGAGAGGTCTTAATCAAAATAATTAGATTTTGGGCCCCCTGGCAGCTTGCTATGGTCCTGCAGCAGAACCTCATGATCTAGACATGCTTAAGGCTCATGAAATTTGGATGGTAGATAACTCTTGTGCTGGGGAACAAGTGATGTACATGTAAGTTTGGGTCCCCTAGCCGAACTGCAGGGGCATTTGATGAAAAATATTTGACAGAGGATAACTCAAGAACCAATTGATGGATAGTCGTGATTTTAAGTAATGCTTGACATGTACATATGCAAATCTGGACTTAATTTGAATAATTAATGATGAAAACATAACCTTCTCAGTGAAGGTAATTATGCTGTGCTATCTGTTAGCCTAGTCAAACAGTTTTCCTGTGCATTATTTAAAACTTCTGATGTTTTGGATTACCTGAATAAGCTCTTTCACTCAGCATTGCTATAAAGAGACCGTCCTCCATGGTAAAGTGCCTCCAGTGACAGCTGCCTGGTGTGACTATGGTCTGAAATGAGAGGACGTGTCAGAGGTAAAACTTTCCAAACGGTCACATCAAAATATTGCCTGTGAGAGATCAGGCCTTTCATTTTGTATTGCCATCTGTACCAGTACAGTGATTCTACTGGGAGAGATTGTGATCAGGGTCTCTGCTGGTGGAGTCACTATGGCCCCATTCCCACTAGGATAAAATTTGATTTTATTGAAATTGCAACAAAGCAATACACGCGGAACAGAGGCAGCTGTTGCTGGTGTTGTGTCCCACACATAGAAACGGATACTGGACATTCAAACAATACTCATTTTCATTTGAGTCCAGTGGAAAAAATCGTGTTAAGAGCCTTTCCCAAGGGCACAAGATCGGTGGCATGTCAGGACTCAAACCCGGGACCTCTTGATTCCGAGTCGCGCACGCTGCCATTGCGCCACACGACCCCACACAAAATTACCCGGTCTTTAATGATGTGATCAAATCCCGATCAAGCCGGATCAAGCAGGGGAGTCTTCTGTGTGAGAACGCTAAGGCCACACCGACTAAATTTTATGGATGACATCCTCTGAAGACCTCCAAACTAGTGTGCGTGGGCGAATAAAAAAAAATTCCGGCCAAAAATAAAAGTGCTGCTAAACCAAAGGAATACAAAGCTGGTATTGTGAATTTGCGGCAGTACATAGCGATGTATACGACAAGTCGGCATATGCTGGCTTTTTGCAGAATTTATGAATCGGCACTGTAGGTATGTACTGAGTTCTTGAGTCAAGGAGCTTCGGTAGCCTTGGTGCTATCTTCTAAAGTTACCGCCGTCATATTGTTGCCAACTACCGTGGACTACCCAGGCCTAGAGCCTGGCCAGAGCCTTGATCTTTTTTTTGGAGAACAGGCAAAAATCAATGCGCGCGCGGATGTCATCCATAAAATTAAGTCGGTGTGGCCTAACTGGATCAACCCGGCTTGTTTGACAGACTTGGTGAGTCATCATACTTCCAGGATTGAACAGGGTCGACATACATGTACACACTGTGTGCAAGTTTCTCCCCCAATTTTGCACTTGTCTTTCCCAGTCGTCATTTCACTTTCTTTCAATGTTCTCCCTACTTCCAATACACCATTTTCAAGAGATAAAGAATCATCAAAAATTTTGACCATTCAACACCTAAGCTTCAATGAGGAACACAAAGTGGTTTTCCTGAAACTGCAGCTTATCCAGCTTGAGCCGGCTTAAGCTGTAACTTCCCTGTGGGAATACAACCATGGATCCATGATCCAGAAACAATTTGATACAATACGGTAAACGGTGCACACACCAGTTCTTCCGCGACAGGGGTCCATGATAGTCCGTGGTAAAAAAGTGACGAAAGGGTTTTGAGGGTCCAAGTTTGACATTTCTCAGAAACTGCCATGAAATATCATTAAACATTAACATGGCTGAAGAGTGTAAGAAATGGTGATTTTGGGGTAAAAATTTCTTTTGGCTCCGAACCTTACTTCCGGGTATCCTTGCGCGCCTAAGTGTAATCCGCCCGTTTGACCTAGATTTCGCTCTGCGCCTTCCTAGTAGCGGATTTGCAACCCCTCGTGCTGTGGACGATTAAAAAAATTACAGTGCTAGAATTTTCTTTATAATTTACTCGGGTATAGTCAAGGTTTGGGTCTTTCTGCCAGCATCAGTCATTTCTGCCGGAAAATTTTTTTCTATGGGATTATCCTACGTGAAAATTCGCAATTTTGTGCATTAACTTTGGAGTGAAAATAATGTTTTTTCCGTTGATTTTACAAAACTTAAAAAGGTTGAAGAAACCAAACTCAGCTGGTCTTGTAGCTGAAGGGATATCCTTTCGTCCCATATACAGTTATTCTCCTTCCAAACTACTCCACGGCAGAGACGGTCGCTAGATTTGAGTGGGAAAAGGGCCTATGATTGTGATTTCCACAGGTACAAATTATGATTCTGCTGGTAGAGGTAACGATCTGATGATGAGACAATAGCAATTTAGCATACTGGTATAAAGTCGGGTAACTGATATACCGTCGGTACCATAGGTTTTAGAGACTGTAAAACTAGTAATGTAGGAACCTGCACAAATGATGTGGCACCTCTGTTGAAGGTATATATTTCTGTTCGGTAGGCTTTAGGCACATTCTTCTCATCTTCTTCAGACACCAGGAGAAAGCCTGAGGACCCCATGCTGATGGCTTCCAAAACAACAGGTCCTGAAACCTGCAATGAAGAATAAGAAATAGACTCTTCAGACTCAGAGAGTCTATTTCTTTTGATAATATTCAAACGGGGAAAACTCAAGAACCAGTTAACAGATCATCATAATTATTGGTGTGTACGTAGCTTAAGTGATGCTTGACATAATTATGGGGTAATTATGCAAATATGGATGTAATTTGCATAATTTATGAGGATATTCTGTAATTTTGCATTACATGATTGGACTATTCAATGTGATATATGTGACTGAGAACGAGAGAAACACAGGCAGATATTGATTATGTAAATTAATACTTAATTTGCATAATTAATGAGAAAACATTGTAATTCAGCAATGGTAACTGCCTGGAATTTCATACTTGGGGTATTTGAAAGTTAAGTGAAGGTGAACATCATTAAACATAACTTATTCAAATAAGAAACTCATTTGTATAATTTATGAGGAAATGCTAAAATGGCATTCTTTGTTAAGATAAGACTGTCTATTTGTGAAGAACATGATCAACTGATATAATTCATGGAAATGAGGATCCTATTTGCATAATCAGGGGGAATACTCTATAATTTGTCAGTCATAAAGATTAACATCATTTGGCGAAGGTATGAGATTGTGGAACTCTAGTTTTCTTTATGTAGTTTGCCATACATTGTACCAAGTGAAATTGTCGTGCAATAAAGTTCTTTTTATAATGGATGCTGCATGTACATGTAGATCTGTAATCTCACTGGCCACTCAGATTATAAGATTATGGAACTGCTCTACTCATGAACGATCCAGGCATGTACCTGCCACTCTCCTGCCTTAGAGAAGTCTTCAGAATCGGCATCAAGTGCAAAGATGGTAACATTGTGGACTTGGCTGTTTCCTGATGCAAGGAAGAGGAATGCTACATCATCCAGCTGTAGGAAGGCCATTGTGTAGACATCAGTCATGGAGACTCCAGACAAGTGCACTTCCTCTGCCTGATCTTCAGTTTCTGCATAAATGAAAGAGTTGAAAGGGAATTGTTTATTACTCTCAACTCTCGAATAAAAGTACCTCCTGGAATAAAAGTACCCCCCGGACAAATCTTCAAAATGTAATAAAAGTACCCCCTGGAATAAAAGTACCCCCTGGAAAATTTTAAAATTGACATGTAAGCAATGTTTATGCTACTAAAATGTGTTCTCACGGTGTATGTGTCCCAAATAAACATGACTCTGGAATAAAAGTAACCCCCGACAAATCTTCAAAACCTAAAAAATATACCCGCCCAGAATAAACATACCCCCAGGAAAAGTACCAAATTATCAGCCTGCATTCTTACAAGTTATTGAAAAATAAGTACATGTACATGGGGTATATGTCACGTACAGTCTAATCTATATCTTAGTACATTAGCCATCTATATTCTAACTCGAGATCTGACTCTGAGTTCATACAATTTGTTGTTGATTCATTGCATGCATACATTGAGCAGGAACAATGCTATCAAGTTTTGATATTAGAGTCCTTAATTTTTTAAGCTAAATAATTATCAGAAAGATTACATTAATAGAGTTTGAAGTTGATCAGAAATTTACAATATGCTAAATAAATGCTCTATACAAATTTGCAGTAATTTGTTAAACCCATGGGGAAAAGAATTAAATATAGAATATAACGTTAGGTTTTGAATGGTATTTCATTTTCATACCTTTAAAAAATTTCAATCAGAATTACACACAATCCACAAGTCAAACACATAGTTCACAGAAGAATAGCAACAATTGGTAACACTGCCACAATCTCAAGGGTCTCAGGTTTCACTTACAAAATGTACCATTAGCTTTGAAGTCTTTGAAACTTTGTGTTAGTATGCAAATGAGTGGAGGCGGGGCCACAAGTTCTTGGAAGAATGGTTCATTCTGATGTAGGGGGACAGTAACTTTTTCAAACATTTCGATGTGTAATTGATATAAATAAATTAAGATTGTTGTCCTGTCTACAGCATTTTACTTAATATTCAATTGTCCTATAATGTAACACGCATATGGTTTTATAAGAAAGAGTTTAATTTAGAGTTAAAAATAATAGCTTCCCCATACTAAGAGTGGGCTCTTCCAAGTCGTGGAAAGTTAATTTTCAACCTGTTTGTTTACTCCATTCGTGCTCCATTCAGAACAGACTATTTCCAGCTTGAATTGTCATTTCTGTGGTAGGATTTTGGAATTTTTGTGAGAAATAGGATTTACTATGCTAAAATACACTGTTGTCTGTCATTGTTTTCATATTCTCATTGGAAAAAGGAATACTTGAAACACGTATGTGCAAGGGAGCACATGTTCCAGGTTGCCCCCGAATTATTTCTAGTAACGCTATAGCGGTAGCTCATATCTCTGACCTGCTACGTGTTCCAAAAAATAACTTACGTTTAAAAACAAAAAGAGGTAATCTATTCCCTACATTAGTACAAGTACGATGACTCAGTAAATCAGCCGTACGTTTGGTGTCAGTAAAGTTCTGCCCATGCATGCTTGACATTTTGTAAAGTGGCCGCTACTTTGGGTGGGCGTCCGGCCGGGCATCATGGCTTGTGCACAGAAAAAAAAAGTTTTCTCCATGAGGGCATTTATTTTCAATGCTGTCAACTATGCCCCGATTTTGAAAAATTATATGTAACGCTACCGTCCAAAATGAGATCGTACCGGGTGGATGTTCGGGGCAAAAAAAGGGAGATGAGAGTTTGATTATTCGGGACCCGAGAGGCCTGGCCTCCGGTCTTGTCGGATCTTCTTGTGGACTGGCAGAACGACAAAACATGAAAGGTTCCCACTAGAATACCGCAACAAGTTACTACAAAGTCACTTTATAAAAGACTTGAATGTATTGTTAAGCAATTACTTGTGGTAGGAACTGCCTTCCTACATCCAAACACATGCTTTTCGTGACATTTCAACTCTGCTGTCGGGGCAGAGAAATACTAGCATTGCGTACTTTTATGTTCAGGACCGCAAATTTGTCCTGAACTTGGTTCGATTCCGAAAAAAATAATAAACGTACCGTCTAAAATAAGAACGTACCGGGCGGATTTCAAGGCGAAAAAAAATAAACATACCGGTATGTTTAATCGAGAGGTGAGAGTAAGCAAATCTGAACTGAAGGCTAGCTGTACCGATTTTATTTGTTTTGTTCTCAGGCCAAAACAATTAAATTTCTTGGTGAATGGATTCGCCCACTTCATTTTTTTCTGATTTGCAAATAAAAATAAAAATTCAGAATCAACTGCAAAATGCTCATATTTTGCCCTGAACAGTTGAAAACAGTCCTTTTCATCCTAGTTTTTACAGTTATTCCATCTTTCAATGCAATGGTATCATTAAAAGTTCAAAATTCATTGTTTAAATTTTGAACCAGCCTGGTGTGTTGACTTCATGGCTCCTATCGTACCATTTTAGGCCATAATAGGATGCCTAGCTATAGGCCTGTTTTTATTTTCTTTTTTTTTCGCCTGCCCGCTCCATTATTATTCTAGAAAAATCCTTTAACCAAGAAATTAAATTGGTGTGGCCTCAGAAGACACAGACGAAAGTGAGGAGACAAACATCGACAGACAAATCAACAAAAACATCTCTCTGACTGCAGAACTTGACTTTCATAACCTTTATGTTGCTTTTTGAAAAACTGAGTCTAAAGCAATTGAAGTAAATTAACAACACTGTAGAGTATGTACCATGGGGAAACATTGGAGAGAGAGTGAAGTCCACTGTCCTCTTCACCCTGGAGGTTTCTGCTGTTTCCAAGGCTTGTGTCAGCTGAGTGAACTGTCTGTCCAGGACTTGGTTAACTTCAAACTGAAAAACTGAAACAACATGTACAATGTAGTTGGCCCAACTTACAACTAGGAAGACTTGGGAGCAAATACAGCATAGTTTTATTACTTAGTATTTTACACCATCTATGTGGTGCTCTCCAGTATCAAGTTTCAATATCCCCATCATGTAGTGCCCAATACCAACACATAGTGCTTGAGCCTTCTTAGTAACAATCATTCTCAGCAAAAATATGCTCAAAACACCCATAGAGTGCAGGGCTTGAAATCGTTTTTTATTCATATATAGCTGCACTGGTGCAGTCTTGACATAATAGAAGACTTGATACTTGGTGAAATCTATCCTTAAATGTTGCACTCAATATATTCATACACTCTTGAGTGGGAAGTATGTTGATATTGCATTGTTGTTAGTATTATGTTAAGTCCTATAGATAGCAGTAACGTTACATTTGTGCTGTGTACATAGATCAGTCATGTCTTTGGGGTTAAAATCACCCTTTGTGGTCATTGTACACATCAACATCATTGTACAAATATACTGTGATCTTCAGCAACCCCGTTTGTCTTGTCCTGCCTGGATTTCCAATAGACCAATCCCATAGCTCCGCCCACCCACGTCCAAATGTATATAGAAATGCAAATATTTGGTGGACTGACCAGCAGCCACTCTCTCATTAGTCGAGCCAATAGTTGCCAATCTATCATTGGTTGAATGGCAAATTGTGATGGACAGTCAGGATCAGTCTATACACATTGATTGTATCTGTCAATGGAACAGAATCAAGAGGGACGTTGTTTTTTCTGATACCATTTCTACTTATGAAATTCATCTAATGATCTGGCATTACACAAAATGATGCAACGTACAATGATTTAACTTGGAGTCCTAGAGCTCTGAGAGCCTGTGGTTGGAGCTTGTAGACATGATTGTTGCTGAAATGACTGGAATTTGTAGTTACTGTGTATGTACTAGAACAGAGTTTGGCAGGCACCTGGGCTTGGACAGGAACGCTGATTTTTGTTGCTGCTTCCATTTTTATTTGTTTATTTGAATTTACTCCCAGATATACAAGTGGAGGGAGAACAAAACAGGACCCTGGTGCATTGACACCTTTACAAGTTGTCATCAAATTTGCATGTCATTATTTGCATGTAATTGTTGTCAATAGCATAATACAGTGTTCCCAGGAGTGTCAGCAAACCATTATTTGTTTGACCACATAAAGTTACGTACAGCAACAGTACACTGACTATAAAAGCATAAACTGCAAATAGAGACAGAAATAAAATTATGGCACCCCAAAAGAGCGCCACTTAGGTCACCTATCACCACGATGAAGTCCTGATTCCAGGGGTCCAAAATAATTTGTTTGATTGGTCAACGTTCACCTGACCATATAAGTGTCATAATTTAATTTCTTGGTTAACGGATTTGCCCGCTTCATTTTTTTCTGATTTGCAATTAAAAAAAATTCAGAATCAACTGCAAAATGATCATATTTTGCCCTGAACAGTTGAAAACAGTACTTTTCATCCTAGTTGTTAGTTAGTCCATCTTTCAATGCAGTGGTATCATTAAAAGTTAAAAATTCATTGTTTAAATTTTGAACCACCCTGGTGTGTTGATTTCATGGCTCCTATTGTATCGTTTTGGGCCATAATAGGATGCCTACTCTAGTAGGCCTGTTTTATTTTTTATTTTTTCGCCCGCCCGCTCCATTATTTTTCTAGAAAAATCCGTTAACCAAGAAATTAAATTGGTGTGGCCTAATATAAAATTTCAATTCATGACAAGCTTCTTCAGTTATGTTGCTATAAATCACATTGTATAATCATACAATTATTATAACATAATTATTACAAACCTTACAGGCAAAGGTAATTTACTCGTAACGATGTGGAATTTGGAAGTGGCCAATGGAATGTCGTCTTGCAAACTAGAGCTAAAACTCAACTTATCAAATGTGTTAATGTTATGTACATGATACAGATTTCGGAACACAAACTTTTAACAGAATGACTGCAGGCCATTGGTTGTTGTAGTTGTCTTACTCTATTATGGTTGTAGTATTTGACTGACACAGAACTGGTAACAACACGTACCTTGTTGAGCCGTCCCGTGTTCAGATTGCTGGTGTTCGGTTGGATCCACCATCGTGACAAACAGCACTAACACCACAACCCCAGACATCCATGGTGCCGTGCACACTGCCGACTTCGCCATTTTTTCGGATCGCCGTCTTCTTCACCACTACACCCCGGGTCTGTAGACTTGTGATATGGGTCTGTGGTTCCTTAACCAAATGGTGGGAGTTTCCCTTAGGTTTAAGTGCGTGTTCCTGTCAGAGTAGGCCTGGTAGTGTCGTCTGTCATGGCTGTCCAGTCACACACTTTCCCAGCTCCGACATCTTCCTCACACACTGATGCAGCATGGGTAAAAGTCTCACAAGCGCCAAGGGGCGGGGCCACGATCGCGACGATGGCAGTTAAGATAATTAAGATAATTAAGGTAAATGAGATTGAAGACCAGAGTCATTTTATTGTGGACTGTGCACTATATAATAATGAAAGATTCTCTTCAATTGTATACAAGATTATTTCCCTAGTTTTAGAATTTTAGATAGAAAAGAAAATTTCACATTCCTCATGAAACTCGATAATCCTCGTACTATAAGCTCCATCTGTTCTTTCTTACATTTACAACTGTTTTAAGAAGCGGGAAGAAGCAGAACCTGTACATAGGTAGTTTTTTTTTTAATATAGATATATTTTAGTCTACCTTCGCTATTTACCATGACCTGTACTTAGTTCGAATGAGCAAAATTGTACAATAAAGGTCATTCATTCATTCATTCATTCATTAATTCATCCATTCATTCATCCATTCATTCATTCGATTAATATAAACGCCAACGGCTCGAAGAACGCGACACTAAAGTCCCTGTGTCCTGTCAGCCGCTAGGACCGTGAAGTCAGACTGGGGAATTTGGGAACTTTGTGATATTTATGAAATGTACTTGTAACGTATGTGTAATACTTTTTAATTGAAATTCCAAAATTTCCGATGCACACAGTATCTTGTACATTGTTTTTGTCTTATCTGCCTGGCGACCGACTCTTGGTTCTGTATCAAGAGATAAAGGTGCTGACCTAGACTTAGATTTTTCCAAGCAATCTTTCATCGTGTATATGATAAAGATGATTTTAAACCTATCTACGCAACCTATATTGGCCTAGCTACCGAAATGTAAAACAAAACGTATAGTAGCAATGAAAAAAAAAGAATTCAGAGGTTTCATACCTCCATGAAATATATGAGTTTTTGTAAATGTAAACGCCAAAAGCAATACCGCCATTTTTCCTGGAGGTAAAAAAAGAAATATCGCTCTTAATTGACTTAATTTTCCAATATTTGCTTTGGAGCAAATACAGCGATGGGTTCACCACATTTTACGACATGGCAGGGAAAGAATGAGAAACACAAGGGAAAACAATGATTTACATTGATATAACTATAATATGAAGTAACATACAACTAAAACAACAGTTGGATAGCTATTCCCTACTTTATTGGTTAGGATTTTTAATTGCATAATGCAAACTGTTGATTTTCAAAATAAATAAAAAAACGTTCATGCCCCGCATTCCAATGCTGGAGCAGAAAAGCTTGAAATACCTACCAAAACACTTGAATAAAGACATACTGTCAGTATGGAAATGCTCTGTGCAGGTGTTAATCAAGTTAAATCCCAACAGCCAATCAGCAAGAAATGCTCTGTGCAGGTGGAAATGCTCTGTGCAGGTGTTAATCAAGTTAAATCCCAACAGCCAATCAGCAAGAAGTATAGAGGAAAGCTGCATGCCTATTGGTTGATGCCCTGCATTCCATTGTGATGACTCATGCCCAGACGTGGTAAACACGGCACACTAACACAGTAATACATTTGCTATAACACAGCCAAAAAACTCAAATAAAACCATTCTAAAAGCCTGTATCACAAAAATTTAAAAAACGCCTAGGGGTATTTGCCCACTGTACCTCCATACCAAATTTCAGGACCTTAGGCCCTAAAATGAAGAAGCTGAATCCATTTAAAAAATGGCAGGAGAAGAAGGAGGAGGAGGAGGAGAAGAAGAAGAAACATCAGAAAAAGCAATAGTTCACCACCACTTCGTGGTGTGGTGAACCCATAACCAGGTAGGTCCACTACATGTAGCATAAGTCCCAAGATGCTTTGTCTAGAGGTCCACGATCTCATACGTCGCCAAATGATGATAGCCTTTATTTAAGGTCGACCTACTTTCTCTTACGTATTTTGACGTGTATGACATTTTCTCATTTTTACAAATCAACAGTCGTTTGCCAGTGTACGGCCTATCTCAAGCAACTCTGTTTGAACTGTGAATTTGGAAGAGATAATGCACGGCTTGTTACACCCAACCGTTGTTGAACATCTAACTCTAAACATTGTTCAAAGCTATCTAACGACAATACCCATACTTTACTTGGTGACAGCGAGTTCCACTCTGCGATAATTCTAGGAAAGAATGAGTTTTTGAACGCCTCAATCCTTGGTTGATAACTCCCAGACTGGTACTTGAAGGCATGACTATTTCTTGTTCTTTTCCACAAGGTCTACAACGTCACGGACCTGTCCGTCTTCATACAGGTCCTGCAGGTCTTCCTCTCCGGACTCAGCGGGATCATGGCGGACTCAGCGGGATCATGGCGGTCGTCACAGGTGGAGTTTAATTAAAGCTGCATTATACTGCACTTGGTGATTTAGTAACTAAGATATTAAATTTCATTTTATACCCTTTCCGTTTTGTGCTATGTTCAATTGTCGTTGCCATACATTGTACCATGTACAATTGCCTTGCAACAAAGTTAGAACGCCACAATACGGTACTGTATTGTAGGATTTAGTCAATTTACACACAGTCGTAAGGTGTCATATTTTGGCAACTACACTTCCTGAGTGACACTAATTTTTTTCCGGGAGTAGAGTTGGTTCAACTTACTTTGTAAAAAATGTCCAGAAAACTTATGCTAATAGTAATACTTCGATTTCATCTTACTTACTTTTTTTCCTCTCCAGGGTTCCGCTTTGCCTACACACAGGCTCCCCGGCGCATGAAGGGCACAGTGATGGGGTTATTCCTGCTGATGTTCGGTCTCGGTACCTACCTCAGCATCGGGATATCATCGGCGTTTCACAGTAAGTATCATCACCTCTGTCAAATTGATGCATATGTCAAGTGTAGTAGGCATTTTTCTGTTCAGAGTATTAATCTCGAAGCAGCTTACTTTGGGGGTTGGCCCCTAACTCTGTCTCTCTCTCTGTGCACATCGGTCAACATTTCGTCAACAATGCATCGTTTGTTTGTTTGTTTGTTTGTTTTATTTGCATATAAAGAGAAGTAAAATGAGCATGTAGTAAAATGAGCATAAGCACAACAAACGAGGATATGCAGGGGGACAAGCCGTGAAGACAAAAAGCCTTCATGGCTTGTCTTGTCCGGGATCTAACTTCCTCCTTCCGTCCTTCCCTCCCTCCCTAAGTCACGATTGAAGGCATCGGCAGTCCTCGTGACCTGAACATGAACCTCAACAACAGCCACGCCGAGCGGTTCCACTCCATCCTGGCGGGGCTGATGTTCCTGAACCTGGGTCTGTTCTGGGTCCTGGCCAGCCGAAAGCCAAGATTTTGAAAGAAGCACGAGTTGCAGCTCTCCCAGAGATTACGGTTCAAGAGATCCGAGCTTCAATTCTATACAGTAGTAAGAAGTTCATGTAGTTTTGTTAGTCTCCACGAGACTCTTTTGCAGGCTGAATAAATAGCACAACTTCGCCTAAATAGAATGTAGCTGGCCAGGGGAGTTGGCCGACCATAGTGGGTCCAGTTTGCCTGCATAGATACTACAGTATATGTGCTTCATTTGTAAGGCAGTGAACACTCAATGTGTTGCAATTTTCTTTTTTAAGTCCAGCGACAAATTTTTAGCTCTAGGTCCAGCTACCAATGGTATCTACACATGTACATGATTGAATAAAGCAAGTTAGATTACATGTATGTGCTGTGCAATGTGAATCAGTAAGAATTGCCCTGCTGAGGATGATGACAGGCGGTCACTGAAACGTCTGATGAATAAAAGACTTACTCGCTTAAAAATGAGTCTTCTTATTCAGTGACTTGCCAACCTGATAAAACTATTCGCGGATATGTTGAATGGTAGGACTCAGAAACGCGTTTCCTGTATTTTTTATACGTGGAAAAAAGGAAATTGAATCATGATCTCAATTGTATCATTATGTGTCATGTTGAACGTTGAATATTGTTCTAGGTCTATTCTCAGATTATCGATTGTAGTAACTCCTCAGTACGCTATGTCAGCCAAATCAAGTGGTTCTTATTGAGTTTGACGGGCAATTATTCCCTTAGCTGTATACTAGGGATCACTAGGAGCAGCGTGAGAGTGTGTAAACAAAAGTTGAAAGGGCGGTCAACTGAAAATCTCATTTGATTATGACGTCATTCGGCCAAAGTTCAGACGAAACGCGGAAATTGGCGTGGAACCAAGCAATCATGTGATTTTGGGATTACGAAGAAGCCAGTTTCGGTGTAAACGTAGGAAGTGATGCCTTTTCCGCACTGCACATGTAGTACAGGGAGGAAAAGAAGAACGAGAGAGAGGTAAGGAACGGTTTGATTCACTCCTATTGAAATGATTGTAAGGGGCCGCCTGTCATCAGAAACCTGACTATGAACACCAAGCTGAAGGTATACCAGGCTTGCGTGCGTGCTTCTCTACGGTAGTGAAACATGGACAACATATGCCAAGCAGGAAGCAAAGCTGAATGCCTACCATATGAGATGCCTACGCAGGATCTTGGGTATTAAATGGCAGGACAAGGTCTCAAACACCGAGGTCCTCGACAGGTCGAAGTCCAGGACCCTGTTTGCCATGATCAGTGAGCGTCGCCTGAGATGGCTTGGACATGTGCGCCGTATGGGAAAAGGCCGCATTCCCAAGGACATTCTATATGGCCAGCTTGAAAGCGGTTCACGTCCAGTTGGCCGTCCTCGCCTGAGGTACAGAGATGTGTGTAAGAGAGACCTTGCTTCGGCAGGCATCAGCGTGGACTCGTGGGAGGAATTGGCACTAAACCGCTCAGACTGGAAACACGCTGTGAAAGCTGGAGTGAGAGATGCCGACATTACAAGGTCTCAACTGAGAGACCTGCGCCGGCAGAGACCAACCACATCTAACACCACCACATTCACCTGTTCAACATGTGGCAGAGTCTGCCATTCACGGATAGGCCTGTTCAGCCACCAGAGACGGTGCCAGACCCCTCCAGTGCCAAGCCCATCGTCTTCTCAGACGGAAGGAGGCCGATGAAGGGGCATTGTTAGGTTAAAATGTTGACATTTTATGGTTGACATATGGCTGTTGCCCCCCTCGCGATCGATTTACGAAGTCATTTTTTGGTCATTCTTTTAATGGATCAATGCATGAATGAATGAAGACCTTTATTGTACAATGTACGCCTGGAAAGAGTACAAATTGGACAAATAGAGAGATAACATGCCAGACGTGCGTCAAACTGTACTCTCTAGTGGACCAACTCCCCTGGCATGTTATCTCTCTATTTGGCTAATTTCTACTCTTTCCAGCCGCCTTCAGAAGCCTGATAGAGGCTAGGCATTACTGAGCGTGTAACGAAAATGTGATACTGTATCTGTATCCGTATTTGTACGCTTTTGTTCATCATGCATATAGGCGAAATGGAAAGTGAAAGAGACCACGTGATCTCCGCCAGCCAATCACGAGTCATGCCGAGCAGCGTCCTGGTGTGGCTGAGCGAGCTGTGCGAGCGCGTGACGTATTATGGGATACTATCCAACATGACGGACTTCGTGACGTCACCGTGCTTCCCCAAACCGTACCACAAGGTTTTTAATTTTTTGAAGTAAAAAAGACCATTATTGCACATTTTTGCCACACTTGGCTAAGTACAGGTCACAACAAAACAAGACGAACGGATGCAATTAACAGATACAAAAGAAACATACTATCGTTATATAAATTCAACTTCATAAGACCTTTTAAGAGCATGTTGTTGAAATGTTGACCACAGAGAAATTCAGGCAACCAGTAAGGTTGCCTGAGAGTCTGTAGTCTGTGAGACGTGTACACTGTATTCAGCATAACTTTACCATTCATTCATTGATTCATTCATTCATTCACAAGCCGTGGATCTTCACGTGGGTTTTCACGACCTTCGCCTACGCTCTGACGTTCTTCGGGGGTTGGCTCGCCGACACAACTGGCAACCGCTTCTGGACGATTATGGTCAGCCTGTGGATCTATCTCGTCGGTGAGAGAACAATGATAACTAGTGAAAGTGAAAGTGATCTCGAACCAGTTTAGCTCATTGAAGAGCTAATCTTCCACTGGTCGTGACAGAGAAGACAGACACTATGTACAGTATTTACAGGTTCATTGTACCGGGGAAATTCCCCTAGCTCTTTTCGACAAGCACAATGAACAGTGGACCACGGCTTAACGTCCCGTCCGTAGGACTGCGACCCTAAACAGTAGCGTGCATGTCGGGTGAGCGACAACAGCCGGGATTCGAACTCCCAACCTCTTCGTCCAGAGGCAGGATCGCTAACCACTGGACTACGCACGCTACGCATAACTAGAAAGGCCAATATTTGCTTTGGAGCAAATACAGCGATGGGTTCACCACATTTTACCACATGGCAGGGAAAGAATGAGAAACACAAGGGAAAACAATGATTTACATTGATATAACTATAATATGAAGTAACATACAACTAAAACAACAGTTGGATAGCTATTCCCTACTTTATTGGTTAGGATTTTTAATTGCATAATGCAAACTGTTGATTTTCAAAATAAAAAAAAAACGTTCATGCCCCGCATTCCAATGCTGGAGCAGAAAAGCTTGAAATACCTACCAAAACACTTGAATAAAGACATACTGTTAATATGGAAATGCTCTGTGCAGGTGTTAATCAAGTTAAATCCCAAGAGCCAATCAGCAAGAAATGCTCTGTGCAGGTGGAAATGCTCTGTGCAGGTGTTAATCAAGTTAAATCCCAACAGCCAATCAGCAAGAAGTATAGAGGAAAGCTGCATGCCTATTGGTTGATGCCCTGCATTCCATTGTGATGACTCATGCCCAGACGTGGTAAACACACACTAACACAGTAATACATTTGCTATAACACAGCCAAAAAACTCAAATAAAACCATTCTAAAAGCCTGTATCACAAAAATTTAAAAAACGCCTAGGGGTATTTGCCCACTGTACCTCCATACCAAATTTCAGGACCTTAAGCCCTAAAATGAAGAAGCTGAATCCATTTTAAAAATGGCAGGAGAAGAAGAAGAAGAAGAAGAAGAAGGAGGAGAAGGAGGAGAAGAAACATCAGAAAAAGCAATATGGGTTCACCACCACTTCGTGGTGTGGTGAACCCATAAATATGATATGAATTTAATACTACTAGTATCAATAAACACGATAGTATTTAGTAAAGGGCTAATGCCCCGTCCCGAGGTGTATATGGTGAGATAATCCCTGGTCAGGTGCGATAACCACCGAATAAACTACCGAGTGAGCGTAGCGCATCTATTTGTTTAATAGATGAATACTACAAGTAGTATCTACTGTTAGTGTCCTGTCGCTTGTATAACGAATCCGTCTACCGTCCACCACAGGCACAGCTCTACTCGTCGCCTCCTCTAGCCTGTGTGGCTCCGCTCCGGACGGAAGGGTGTCTGGCCTGTACTTCGCCGGCCTCACCCTTGTTGCCATAGGAACGGGAGGCAGCAAGTCCAACCTGGGTCTGTTCGGCGCCCAGCAGTACAAAACGTCAGGAGGGGATGTCAACATCAAGCTGAGAGGCTTCTTTCACTGGTAGCGTATAACGTTCAATACTGATAATTGTGTGTACATTCGCAGAAGGAAACATATTGTTTTTGCTCTGTTTCTTCCTCTTCTTCTTCTCAAAATAAGGTCAATGACCTGAACCATGGTAACTACATGTAGTGTTGGGTGATATCATGTTGCAATTTTAAAGCAGGAGGGATTTAGACTCACCATATATATATGAATGTGTTTGAGTAAGAATTAACAAAGCAGGCTAGATGCGAAGGTAAACATAATGCATTTGCTTTACAAGTGTAACCTTTCTACTTAAAACTATTATTAATACTAGTACACCTGGATGCAATTTTTGGAAAAGGTAGGGGCTTAAAACAAGTTTGATTTCTGCAGGTACTACTGGTGCATCAACCTGGGAGCTACCATTGGCGTGGTGGGGGTGCCCTATCTACAAAAGCACGTCAGTCCGCTGAGCGGTTACGTCACGATCTGTGTCTTCCTCCTACTCTCTGCTGTTATCTTCGCCACCGGCCGCTTTACAAACTCGTACAAGCAAGAAAACAGCACACATGGTTAGATCACGTTTCTTTACTCCATTTCACTCATCAGTGTTGGGACAATTATGTTTAAGTGCATGGGAAGGAAACATTTCATAACTGTTTGAGGTCAATGACCTGTAGGAGACACCGTGTCATCAGTCACCATGGTAAAAATGGTGTCGAATTTCACCACTTAGCGAGATGTGAAATCCAGCATCAAAATCAGTGGCTTTGCGCTCGTTCAGCTAATATGAATATGAATGCTTTTGAGTGAAAACTAATAAGCAGCAGTATTTTGTTTATATATGACTGGTTTATTGATGACAAGGTAAAACAGTTTTGCAGAACCCAGGGGTTCTGAACTGCACTGTTACTCACAATTACAAAGATTAAGACTAAAGACGTAGCCCATTAAAAGCTTTAAAATCAAAGAACATCTATTACAACATATACACATATGATAAAATCTAATAAAGTAGAGTTTATAAGTGTAAATAAGTTTGCATAATAAATAAAATACTTATTAAGATTACTATTAAGATTAAACATAATTTAAAAATAAAGATTGAAAATACTTATTAAGATTACGAATTCGTAGGTAAAACAGTGGTCATAAAGACGGTTAGTAAACAAAAAGTGTTATTAAAGCATTGTACCGAGTACGCTCGATTACTTATTTAGTAGGCTAACAATATATGGGATTAGCGCTGTTGCGGTAGCGCTGAGTCTTTGCAACAATACAGTTCAGTTTGTGGCTAGTTCGGGTTTTCCGCCCGCTGACTTCCCCCCGAGATGGAGGGAGCCAGTGTCTGAAGGAAGCAGAGTTCAGTAGACTGAGTCCGAACTTCGTACACAGCAGTTCTCTCCTTGTTTCAAGGGTAGACAGGTGTACTTCTTGCCCAGAATGGTGCGGCATGCGCGGCGTTGAACTGTCTCTAGACGGGTTGACTGGAGTTTGGTGAGACCAGGGTTCCATACCGGTACAGCGTACTCGCACAAGGGGCGCACGTAACATGTATAAACGGTGACAAGATCTGTCTCGGGGATCTTGAACTTCTTTAACCGTCGTAGGATGAATAACCGTTTACTGCTCTGTTTCACCATGTGGGTAACATGACTGTCCCACTTTAGGTCCCTCTGTACCCAGACTCCCAGTAACTTGGCTGCAGTAACTTCTTGACGGACGTGGCCCGCTAACTGAAGTGGGGGGAGTGGGGGAGGTGTTCTTCTGAAAACGAAATGCATCACCTTGCATTTGTTTGGGTGTAGTTTCATGTAGTTTGCACTGGACCATAGATCGAGGGCATTTAGATCTTGTTGTAGGTTTGATTGTGCTTTGACTGATCTTTCAACCATGTTCAGATCATCCAAAAAATGTTTTAAAAATTCATGGAGGCTAGCCCATGTGAAGTTGAATATTCTGTAGTTGCTTGCAGTTTTTTTTTTTCATGCTTCATAACAATCCCTGCTCTACGTGCATCATAACGCTACAGAACTCCAGAGCAGGATCGTCGCTGGTCTACTTCAACCGAGCACTAGAACGCGACGTACAACTCAAGGAAGGTACGATATAAGAGATAACGACACATATGTTCTGTTTGTATAGGTTTTGCTAAGTAAGAAGAAAACGCCCTATTTAGTGATAAGCCGGATGGCCAGTGCACATACAGTGGTATAGAAACAGCTCAATTCTTTTTAACCAGTTTGCTAAATAACTGTGTAGGAATCCCCGAAAATGATTTATGTATTATATAATTTAATTCTCTTGCTATAATATAGTACTGATAATCGTTCCCTCACGTTTTCATTACCATACATATTGACTAATACAATTGAATGTGTTGGTCATGGTTTTAAATAATAGCAATGTGCAACTTGCAGTTATATTTCCTTACGTATATATTTAAGAACACATCATTCATATAAGGAATCGACCGTATACAAGACACAGTTGAAATTAATGTTTAAACAACGTTTCTTCCCTATACAGACTGTGGAGTTCGACCATCCCAAACGAGGTGTGGAAACTGATGCAGATATTTGCAACTCTGATACCCTACTACGCTATCTACTCACAGGTAATGTTTCTGAGAATACCATGCAACAATTACCTTCTCAGAATATCATACAACAATTACTTTGCCTAGAAGGTTATGCTTATGGTAGCGCTTATGTGTATGTGTGTGTGTATGTCTGTTTGTACGATATCTCATCATCATCATCATCATGCCTCCGGATTACAGTATACTAATCCGGTGAGGTACACTTGATGAAGTTACTCCAGTATGTCCTATCCCTCATAGCGGACACTAATGCAGTCCCTGCGCGACCAGTGTCTCTCTCTAACATGGACAAAAGTGTAGTATAAGGACGTCCCACTCTATGTCTCCCAGTAGGAAGCCACTGCACTGTACTAGTCTACCAGTTGGTTTGTTACTATGAACAACATGCCCTGCCAGGGCGAGTCTACGTCTTCGGACTACAGATGAAATGGGCGGGAGAGAGCCATAGAGTTGTTTGTTTGTTAGATGTTGTCTCCATGAAACATTATACACTGTTCTTAACATTCTTGTATATGTACCATCTAGTTTCTTGCTCTGGGCAGTATTCATAGCCCATGACTCAGAGCTGTAGAGTAGAATAGTCTCTATACATATCTAATACATGATAAGAAGCATTGGATAGAAACAGCGAGGACAAAAGAGACTCGGAAGCTAGAACGTGCAACATTATGTAACCCAACACCAGTTACCATGGTAACAGACGTCTGGTCCTGGTCATTGACCTTATCTAGTTGTTTGGAACGGAAGAAGAAGAGGAGGAAAAAATTGTGCAAAAACTATGTTTTCCTTCGGTAAGCACAATTATGCAGAATAATAAAAAATATTCATGTCAACAGACAAGAACGACCTACCTGTTTCAAAGCGAACGTCTGCGCATGCCTGAGGGGTCAGAGGCCACGTACTTCAGCGCCATTAACAGCGCCGTTATCCTCCTGATAATCCCACTCATGGTCTGTGCCGTGTATCCCCGCCTGACGAACAAGAACGTACACGTTTCTCCACTAACTATGATGGGTATGTTCATCTATGTTTATGCTTTACTTCATTTGATTCTCTTTATTTTCTGTCTACAAGCTGTAAAGGTTTTTTTTGCGAATCCAGCCTTGTATTAACCCTATTCAGACCGGGCTGTTTTGGTCATGCTTGGACCGAAGTGTGTGTGTGGGTGGGGGGGGGGGTGTCGTTTTGGAGGGCCACCAAATTCCCAGAGAATGGTGTAGTAGTAAATTATGACGTCATTATGATGTCATTTATGTGATTTTTGGGGCTAACATCGTCAAAATGTTTTGTTCGAGTTTCGTAAAACTCAGAGGAACACAACCATACCTTAACAAAAGCTGTCTTTGATCAAATATTAAGGTCTACTAGGACTTATGTTGTTTGCATGTCATCCGGTTGAGCTATGATAATGATGATAACATGTATATTTATACACAGGAGTGGGAATCCTACTGTCCACACTATCGGTGCTGTCAGCCGAGGTTCTGGAAGTCTACCGCCGGCAGCTTGTCTACAGCGGACACCACTTCCAGCAGACAGTGGGGAACCGCACCCTCCGTGCTGCCGACCTGAGCGTGGCGGCCCAGGTCCCGCAGTTCGTCCTGTCAGGCATCAGCGAAGTCTTGACACTTGCCGTGGGTAAGTCGCTGCTACTTTCAACTGTTTAAGTTAAAGGCATCATCATCATCATCCACTGTATTCTGCATCTGCGGTCTTGCAAAAAGTCCTGCAGCTGTATCCTTCTTTCTTCATCTCCTGCAATTGTGTCTTCTGTCTTGGGAGCTCCCTTAGCTCTTGGAGTTACTTGTTGTGGGAGGGCCTAGCCCTCTGCGCTTCAGGTCTCCCTTCAGCATGCTGAGCAGATTGATGCAGTGCCTCTCTTTGCGAGCCGTGTATCTGTTAGCTGGAGCCTAGGAATGAAAATTCCAGGGATTTTTGTGCAGGTGTGTCTTAAAGGCATCCAATGCGATTTTAGGGCGGGAAAACTTTATCAAAAGTAGCATTATTTATGCTACTATTAGTACTAATGGACAGGTTTGGGCGTAGACCAAAGCATTTAATTAGACGCGCCCGGGAACACATGGGGACCAGCCTCCCCTAACCGGGTCAGTTCTCCGCAGCCACGGGCAGGACCGGAGCTTTGTAACCTCCGTCCGACTTCAGTGTGCCCCGTTCGAGTTCAGTGTCTCACACTCATCATGAGTCCTAAGAAAAAACGCTCCAGGAAATGTGCAGGCTGCGGGGAGCCGGTTGCTCTTCACCCACCCGGGACGAACGGCAGGTTTCTGCGAGGGTTTGCAGCCCAGCGGCACCGACTCGGGAGATACGCCGACGCCGACACCACTCACTCTGGAAGAACTGGAGGACAAAAAGGCGGCTTTTATTAGAGCAACTACGGGTGGCGGAACTCAACAAAGAGGTTGCCGAACTGGAGAAGAAGCTTCAAGGCCTAGCGACTGAGGACAAAGCCCAA